ACGATCAAGTCTCGGGTGACCCAAAAATGAGATTTTTAATAAAATTTTAAAATTTAAAAAATAATTTGAGGCAAGTTAAAATAAAAATATATTGAACTTGAATCGGGACGAAAATTAATCGTTTCAGGGTGAAAACGGACCCGAGAAAATAAGGGTCATGTGGTGCATCGTGAGCCAAGTAAATAAGGGATATAAATAGGGGAAAAATTTGATTTCTCCCCTTATTCATTAGTTGTTCACCCGATAGAGAAGAGTGGAGGGAAATGAGAGAGCTTCTTCATTTCTCTCTACGATCTACATGAATCGGTTGCTCAAATTCATTCGGGCCAAGAACAAAGATTGTTCTACGTGTCGAGGGTTATACGACCACACTAAAAACGACGAGTTTCACCGAAGATTACAAGGACGGGATTGTGGAAAATCAAGGGTTTGGACTTGGAGGATACTCTTGAAGGTTCTATCGTCGATTTTTACGTCTCAAGAGGTAGGGTTTCCTTCTAGTTAGGTTTATTTACAACCTAGGATGTTTATATGAAATGGGTAGATGGATAGAATGTTATATCACTTGCCTATTGTTAAGGACTTGATTAAATGGGTATAGAAATGAGGTAGAATAAATTTTAGTTTAAATTAGGTATGTAAAAATTATCTATGGCGATGCTTAAGTTATGTGATGAAATGTGGGCATGTTATGTGTTTATTTTATACTTTGAGTATTAAGCGTGTTATTGACACATATTATGTAATAACACGTTTGTGATTTATTGTTGTAATAAAATGTTGATATATTAACATTGTGATGAAACTTGGTGATTATATGCACATGATATAATTAGTCATAAAAAATGTAGATGTGTGGTTAATTTTGTTCATATGACATTCATTACATATGGGCATGACATTGATATAGCAATGACGAATTACATTGCATTTGCACGGAGGAACTGCATCTATAGCCATGAGTATGGGTGTATGTGTGCATGATTGATATCAAACACCAAATAGGTGGATGATAAGTGGGCTCGAAAAAGTTGGATCAAAGATCCGACTGAGTCACGAGGTTATATGAATAAAGAATTGGGTATGGGTTAGCAAGAAGAGCTAGACTATCCCTCGGGTGAGAGACCCGGTGAACGGATACACACTCCGTTGGTATAAGAGCCCATAAAGTGTGTCGATATACGTGAAACCATTGGTGGGAGTCCATAAATTTCGTGTCGATTGGGTGCCGTTGGTGTAAGTCCATACATACCCACCCCAAGAAATATCGGAGATTTTAAGTAGCCATTGAATGGGTAATGTGAATGGCAGAAGCTAGAAAAGCTTAGTTTTATACACATTGGCACTTGCATGTATGTAGGAGTCGGGAAGAGCTTGGGTTAATGTGCGTGAATGAGTCTCATCTCATTTCATAGCATGACATGGTAGATTTCAACATGGAATGCACATTATAGATTGAAATGTTATGAATTGTAGATTGGTTGCATGTGAAACATTTCATATGTATTTGGGTTAGGGAGTAGCCTTTGTAGGAGATACCCTATTGAGCGTGGCTCACCCTTCGTAAGAAAAATATTTCAGGTGCGGGATATACATCAGTGAAAGATCCTCACACGAGACCCCAAGGGTGAAGAAAGCCGGAATGTGATTTTATTTTGAGTTTTGTAAAATAATTGTGAAATTTCTATTTTGATATGTAAATTCATTGAAATGAATGTAATAAAAGATATATGGACTATGTATAAAATGAAAATCATCATTATAGATGTGTTGGATGAATGTAATATGGTTAATAATGAGTTAGAAATGAAAAACATGTGAAATAGGTAAAAGTTGGCAAAACGTACCAGTATGTCATATTGGTATGACGAGGTCCAGTGGGCAACTCGTATCGGTATAGCGTACCGGTACATTTTCCAAAAATCTGAAATTTTAAAAATTGTTTTGTCATGCTTATGAACCTTGGGTTCTTTGATTCCAAGGATATAAATGAACATAAAATAAGGACAAATTGAATATATCGAACCTGGGCTGGGTCAAATGGTAAAATATACCCGAGTTACACGTGTGGGTGATAATCCCGGTGAAGGGGATGTTATTGACGGGATGTCGGGTTGTGCAATAATCACGGATACTTTTATGGATTGACGGGTGGTCAATAATTAGAAAAAGACTCCAAATTTTAGGGCCGTCACAACATTATAGTCGCCTTTACCATCATTCCCAACCACCAAATCTTTCACAAAACTCTTCGTCGCCATCAACAGCTCCCTTATCTCCAAACTAGCATATTGGCCATAAAATCGCCACTATCACTACCATTGATAACCTATTGCCATTTAGGCCCGTCGGCCCGTTAGATTTATATGAAATATTTGATACAAATTATATTTGATTTTTCGACGAAATTTACTTTCACGTTATATATTTGAATCTCATCAGTACAAACCCTTCAAATTTGACTTGAATAGCTCCATTAGAACTTGATTTTAGCTAATTATACATCTTGAACTCATTTTTATCAAATATCATTAAATTACAAATATATGGTTGTGTACATTGATTGAAATTTTATATCATATTATGGTCAGATTAAAAATTAATAAATTCAAACTCATAAAAAGTGTACGATATAAATAATTTGAATAATCAATTAAAACAATAGTTCATGTTCGTCCAATCACATTCAAATTGAACTTGGAGTTGATTTGAATTTTAATTTATTAATAAGTCTATCACTTTCTCAGCGTTATCACCGCACCACCTCATTTCACCTTATCTCCGCGGTTGTTACCACACCCAAATTGCCACTCCCCACCCCATTGCTACCAACAATCATCAAACACACATTACATTCGCCAAGAGTAAACTAAATATTCGCATTAAAATAAAATAATATTTTAACATAATTTTTAAGTACTTAGAATAACAAAATTTAATCAATATGTTGTATTATTGGGACACATTTCATTCTTAATCCCATTTATGCTTTGTTTTATATTATGGAAAAATATAAGGATGAAAAATTGGAAGGATAGAAAGTTGGAGAGGTAGATAAAATATCATGTTTGGTAAGGAAAAAAATAAAATAGATGTAAAAGTGGATAAATAAGTTTTCCTTCAAATTCACCAAAATTAATTCCTTTAAAATCGAAAAGAAGGTGAATAAATGTGTTGAAATGTATCTTATTTGTCAATACATCATTTGATATATAAATATATTATGCATACATTAATTTCATATATGTATTTATATTTTTTTTTAAATAAAAATAAAAAAAATAAAGTAAAAAAATATATATTTTTTCATATTAGCTAAGGATGAAAATTTTCGACTCAACATGATGACACGAATTTTATTGCACGAACTTGACTATAACTCAACACGAACTCGAAAATGACCTGACATATGAACACGAAATATAAACAACTCATATTCAGTTCAACCTGTCAGACCCAAAATTGACACCATCAATCCGCATATTTAAGAATAAACATTTTTTTCTATTTTTCCGTTTATATGGTAACACAAAATTAATATAAAATTAACATGTTTAACTAGTATTATAGATATAAAATGTTAATTATTTGTAACTATTTATTAAACACTGAAATATTATTATATAAAAAATATATTTTTAGTTATTATTATTATTATTATTATTTTATTTATTTAAGTTAATTTTAGTTTGCAGAAAACGTAGGAGCATGAATTTTATTAAGCAAATATAAAATATTAGTGTTAAATTTTTTATTCAAAATTTATGTAGGTCAATACGAATACGAATACGAATATGACTACGACTATGAATATGAACATGATACGAAAATAAACAGGTCAATTCGACACGACACGATTAGTTAAATAAGTTGAGTTAGATTTGATTAATGTTCGACACGAATCCGCAATGATTTAACACGAACTTAACACGACACGACTGAATTATCACCCCTAATTTTAACATGAAAAAAAAAATTAAGCATTTTTATTTTTCATCCATCTACCAACACACAAAGAAAGGAAAATGTATCATTTTTATTTTTCTTCCTTAAAAAATAGAAAGTGTATCCCTCATATTTGTCATCCATCATACCAAACGGAGCATTAGTGAATTCTAGCTCAATCAAATCCTTATACCGCTACCAAGAATCCAAAAACTCCCCTAATATTTTTTACATTTTGTTCGTCATTTTTCAACTTATTTTTCTTTTTAAGTAAATTACATATATAACATTCAAACTATGATTTTTGTGTCAATTATGTCCTATATATATATATATATGTCAATTAAGTCTCTGAACTCTCTAATTATGTCAATTAATTTATTTGTCCACCTCCGTTAGATTTTCTAAGGAAAATTGTGCCTCTCACATGACATAAATAGTTGGAGTAAACTATATGTATAACCCCCAAATTATGACCTTTGTATAATTAAGCCCTAATTTTTTTTGTGTCAATTAAGTCTTAAACTCTTTAATTGTGTCAATTGATTCATTTTGTTTTTTTGGTGATATATAGTAATGTGAATGACACACTGTAACCAAGGAAGACAAATAAATGCTAATTAAAAATTAAATTAAATACATTCAATTTTATTTTAACTTATTATATAGAAAATGATCAAAATTTTATTTTGATATATTATTTTGCAGAAGTAGAATAAAAATTATAATTATTTTTAAAATATTAGTCAACTTATACTAAAATATTTTAAAATATCTCAAATATTTTAAAAGTATTGGTCAAAATATATAAAATATTTTAAAAGACTTCATAATAGTATAGATCACTTTAAAACATTAAAATTTTATTTTAATTGTTTTTTTCTTTTGATTTATTTGATATATATTTAATAGTTTTATCGAATAAGTATAAATAGAGTAAACTTAATAAGTAATGAAGGGATTATAAGTAAGGTGAATTTAATAAATTAAAATAAAATAATTAAATAGGGTTGTAAAAGAGATTTAAGGGCGAAAATAATCCCACCCTTCCTTCTCTTCACTTCCTAACCCTAACCCTAGTCCTAACACTAACTTCCTCAGGAGTCACGACGCAATCCTTCTGGTTCACATCCCAGCCACCTTCAAACCTGTATCCTAACACCCCAGAATTCAGAGTTACTTCGGATCTGAAACCTTCAATTTACATGGGTTCCAGGAAGGGTGACTTCGGCGATGGAGCTAGTCCTGGGTTCGTTTCCCCCTTCTCTCCCTATTATGGTTTTGCCTCCATATCTTTCTGTAAGTGACCGACTAAGGTATTGTCTTTCGATTGTGTGTTACAGAAAGATTTTCATCGGAGGCTTGGCGAAGGACACTACCTTGGGTTAGTTTCCAATTTCAACTTCACAGCTTCACCCACCCAAACACCCGCAATATGAGCTTATATATGTATTCATTGTTCTTTGGTAGAAACAATTTTTTTGTGTGTTTTGTCTGAATTCTGGTGGTGGGTGTGTGTAGATACGTTTGTGAAGTACTTTGGGAACTATGGAGAGATAACTGATTCGGTTATAATGAAAGATAGGCACACGGGTCGTCCCAGGGGTTTTGGTTTTATCACCTATGCCAATCCCTCTGTTGTTGACACCGTTATTGCTGAAACCCATGTCATCAATGGAAAACAAGTGAGTATCAAGCTTTGATTTATGTTTTAAAAGTTATTGTTCTTTATACCCTTTTTGGGGGTTAATCTATTTTTGTTGTGTATGATTTGTTACCAAAGTGACTGAGGGTGGGAAAGAAAGTAAAATAATGAACTTATTATTGCTGTTATTGTTATTACTAGTTTTATTTTATTTTGTGATTATTCCCAGCTTATATCTGCATTTGTTGTAATTTGGAGTTGCTTGCCTACCCCAAAGTCTAAGGAATATAAATGTCACAATTAATCTAATATTACAACTTGAAAGTTAAATTCTCAACTTATAAAAGTAGAACAACTAGGTTGATAGCTCAACTTTCGAAATTGACGAAATCAAGAAGGAAGACAGTGAACTGAAAAGAAAAGGGACAGAGAGAGAAAATAAAGAAAAGCCTCTGGTTTATAAATTATTTAAATTATGAAGCAGCCATAATGTTTCTATGACCAAAATTTAGGGCAATTGTTTGATTTTTAAATTCTATCGCAACATTGGTTGTGAATGGTTTATCATTGACCAAATGGAGTAACCTGCCTCATTTGATTGCTTAGAAGCGGCAAGAAAGGAGAAGTGCCCTTGACATACTTAACAATGAACCTCTGATTTATGTTTTACACAAGTTTTCGTGTCTTATTGTGGATTGTTAAGTTATATTGGTACAAGGGTCTAGGAAGCACCACCACTTAATTTGGTGTGAATTGTTGAGCTATATTGGTACAAGGGTCTAGGAAGCACGACCACTTAATTTTTGGCTAAAGTGTCCATGTTGAACATGTTTGGGACACAAACATACTTCAGACACGTGTTGGACACACTAGCAATTGGCCTATTTCCGGGTGTACACGTAAAAGCGTGATTAGTTCCACAAATCTCACTGCATTGCCTATAGTAAACTCCTTCTCATTGTACTAAAATAGAGGTTTGATTTAAACAATCAGGTACCTCATCACATTTGACACCTGAGGAAGGTACAACCCAACTATGTGGTACATCAACAGGTGTTACAATAATACGTAGATGAGTTTTGGCTAGTACAACCACTCTATTGTTCAATTTTTTTGGGTCACGTTGGCGGCCGACACGTCATAGGACATGTTTTGAACTTTTTTTCAAAATTTTGAAAAATTGTCAAGTACCTTTATAAAGAAGAAAGTTTTTTTTGTAATTTTAAAAAGATAAGGGTCAAGGTTGTAGTATAAAAAAGTTACAATCACTACATGAACGTAGGACACTGATATAAACATAATTTTGGACACGATTATGGAATTATATACAAATAGAATAACCTTTTTATGTGAAAGTAATTTGATGAAAAAAAGAGTTATAAAATTAGGACTCCTTGAAATTGATTGAAAATTAGGGTGACGATCATAGTTATCAAGTAGAGATTCGTATCGGAAATCGAAATACTAAATTTTAGAATCGGGAATTGTACGATTCAACACAAAATTCGAACATTGATAAAAAATAACATGTACATATTTAAATAGACAAGATATTAAATATTAAACATTATTGTATTTTAAAAATAATCAATTGACGGTATTGACATCATCACGTTATCTAAATTGAAAGATGTTAATCTTTAAAGCTACACTTGAGTTTGTACATCTGTTACTTCTTTCTTAATGCATCATAAATCCTTCCCTCAAAATAGCCACAATGGAAGATGCAAGATTTTTAACCAACAAATGACAATTGTCTTCTTATCAAAGTTAACTAAAATAGGAAAAACTCATACTGATTCGAATATGTAAATTTAAAAAATCACTCTCCACATTTGATTGAAAAATAAAAACATAACATTTATTGAAGGAGTAACGTATGTTAAGGTTTGGTAGTTGTTTTTTAAGAAGAAGAAACATACCTGGAGTAAAGGAGACATCGTCACTTGAACAGTCGCTTGAGAGACAGAGACGCGAAGCAAAGTCGTGAATAGGAGATATAGAGAGAGAGAGTTTTATATTTGGGGGTGTGACTCTTCTCTAAATAATAATAAGCCGAATCGTGCAATTTGAATTGTATGATATGAATCGAATTGCGAATCGTACAGTTTTGATAATAATGGTGACGAGTAAAATATTTTTGAATGTATTTGTATATCTGATATTTTTCTTTATCCGATGATATCATGATGAATTCTTAGAATTGTTAGAATTAAGAAAAATGATGAATTGAATGATAATCATTAGAATGGATTTATTTTACCAAATGATCATATATACATATAAATAAATAAATACTTCCTCCGTTCCTAAATATCTGTCGTTTTATACAATTTTTTTGTTCCATAATATCTGTCGTTTAATTAAACCAAAACATAATTAATATTTTTTCTTCCAAATTTACCCTTAACTTTTCAATGCATTAGATTTGGTGGAGGCTAAGTATCTTTCATATTCATTTCCTTCCCAATACGTATTGAATAAATGTATTTTAGTCTTGTGTAATTATTTTTTACACATATTAGAGGTATTTAATAGTTTCCTTAATCTTTGTGCAAAAACCTTAAATGACAGATATTTAGGAACGGAGGGAGTACATATTATTTAATGTATCCCTTAATGTATCTGTGTCCAATTTTTTTGAAAAATAGTGTGTTGGCTCGCCCGTTCTTCTTAGACATGAGTTAATTTTGCTCCTCCACTGAACTTTATGTATAGTATCTTTTCTGATGCTTATATATTTATGGAAAATGTTATGTGAATAAAATTTTCTTAGACAAATTAGGCTCGGTTGAAATGGGTTCCATAAGTTTCTATGTAGTACTACATGACCAGAATAGTTCCATTTTGAAATGGTTTTTTTTTCCCGGATAGGTTTGTATTTAGAAGGCTTAGAAGTGGATTTCTGACATATCTATTAAAGCAAATTAAGAGGGGTGCGTTTATGCTTATGAACTTTATTTTTATTTTGCCAGGTTGAAATTAAAAGAACAATCCCGAAAGGATCTGCTGAATCCAATGATTTCAGAACAAAGAAGATATTTGTTGGTGGGATTCCAACACCTGTGACTGAAGGTTTGACATTCAGTCTCTTAAACATTAGATGTTATCGTACCACGACTTATAGTTGCTGCAGCTGTTGTAGTTGTTTTTTTTTTTAAATTTTTTCTCCCTCTATCCTCCCACTCACATTTGTAACAAATGTTGTGGTCAGATGAGCTCAAGAATTTCTTCGCAAAGTATGGGAAGGTGGTTGAGCATGAGACTATTCGAGATCATGTGAGCAAGCGATCTTGAGGCTTTGGGTTTGTTGTCTTCGACAATGAACAAGTTGTCGATAAATTGCTGGCAGTTGGTAATATGATTGATATGGAAGGTGCACAGGTAAGCTCAATACAGTGGTCCTTCGGGATTTCAGATATATTTTGACATAGCTGTACTGTTTATACTGCAGCAAAAGGTTTCATCTTAATATGTTTTCATTTTGTTATCATGAATCTTCACAGTTATTTTATTAAATTCATCTACATATTCTATCAACTTGGTGGTATCACATAAATTAGACCTGGATTGACAGAGTATGGGTTTTATTTCTTGTTTTTTGGGAAGTATTGTTTCCATCTTTTAGTGCTTAGCTATCAGAATAATTGACAGGTTGGAATACCTAGGTTAACTTGCTTCTTTGTTGTAGGTTAAGGTCAAGAAGGCTGAACCAAAGAAACCCTCAAGCCCAGCACCTGCTCCTGCATTTGCTAGTGACTCTAGGGGACGGGCATATGGTGATAGTTTTGGTGGGTTTGGCAACTCCTATAGCAGTTTTGGCAGTGGCAGTTTTGGCCCTGCTTCTTATAGGTCATTTGACAGTCTTGGTGGTAGGTTTGGTGACTATGGTGGATATGGTGGCAGTGAATTTGGTGGTCGCTTTGGGGACATTGTTGCTAGTGATTTTGGTGGTTATCGCGGGGAGTCATCATTTGGTTATTCTAGTCGCATTGGTTCTTATGCTGGAGGTTTTGGTGGGGGATATGGTGGGAGTGGGGTAGGTGCATACAGCCGTGGAGGTGCAAGCTATGGGAGTTATGGTGGGGCTGGGGCAGGCTCAGGTACTGGTTATGATTCTGGCCCAGGTGTTGGCTATGGTGGAGCAGGAGGTCTTTATGGAAGTAGGGCAGGCTATGGTGGTGGTAGCCGTTACCACCCATATGCCAGGTAGATTTCCCAAGCCTAGGAGTTGCGCACAGGTCTATCGGTTAGTGCTATCGTGGTCCAGATTTCGGTAGACATCTAAAGTTCTTACTGCCAGGAAGAGACTATATTTAGAAGATCAGAAGAACCACTAGTCTGTCTCTGTTTGTTCTATGGATTAGAGAACCAGTTAGATAATCATCACTAGAATATGCCTATGTTTGTTATTTGTAGTTAGCATTTGTTTTTTATGATATCTGAATTAGTTAGAACCCATCATGTTGTGAGTTGTATTTTCTAAGGATTACCCTAGATTCTTGTGTTAACACAGTGCTTATTTTTCTATGAGTACACTAGCGGGCATGACAGACTGGTTCTTGGGCTGAGTACTCTTCTTTGGTGTTTTTGTTGTAGTTTGTTAGTCATATGTTTCAGAATACGTTTGCAAGGACGCAGTGGTAGGCCTTTCCTCTTTTTTTTTTTATTTTTGCCTTTTTGTGGGCCGTCCATTCTGATATATCTGCAGACGCAAGCTGAAGTCTGAATTTACTCTGATATTTAAAAAGGAGCTGTCAATTTGTTGTGTGCTTCCCATTGCTTGATAGTTGGACGAGTTAAATGATTTACATTTTGCAGTCCTGCTATAGCTAACACATTCTTTTCTTGGATTAGTGTTGAGACTTACGGTTTCATTATAGAGTTGAATGGATTGGCTTCTGACTGCGAAATGGTGGTCTGGTTCATTGCTTGATACTAGAAAAGGGCTTTTTATTATATTTGTCGTATCTTCAATGGTTGCTGAAATATTGTCAACATGTGGAAATGGTGATTCATTGCTAAGTAGTTTAACATTAGAACTTTGGTACCTCTTTTATTTATTTATTTATTGTGGTGGGGCCTTTTGGGTTTATTTTTTTTTTGGGGGGGGGGTGTGGAATTAAAATTTAGTTTGAGCTGAATAGGTTCTTCTTTTAGTTTTTATTAACGAATTTTACTTAATTGACAGCATGGATAGGGCTATGATGCTTTATTGTGTTGAGACAAATAGGTGCTTAAAGTTTCTTTTTCATGTTGGCGGAGTAACTTGTTTTCATGGATGATCCTCTAGTTTTGGTGACTGTTGAGACAATCAGTTTTATCATTTGATGGTTGTACTATATAGTTATTTTCAGCTATTTCCTAACTTCTAAACCAGCTGGAATCTTGTTGTATAATAACCTCTTTGAAGACATCCAAGTGAATTTTGTGATCTATAGTCACCTTATGACCATGATGTTATTTTCGACTATTGGAATCCTTGGTTATACTTATATCCCCAGGCTTGTGTAATTTTAGACGTGCAAATATATGTGTATTCGTGGTCTCCCTCATAACTTCTGTTCGTTTTTTCTTGAATGGTTGTGGCTGAGTGACGTATCACACTGAAGTTTGATTGTTTTCAATAGTTAGCAATTTTTAAGTTGTTATATAAGCTTTATTCAGTACTTACTATGTTGGTTATATTTAGAATCTTAAATTGTGCAACAAATATAGGGATATAAGGATCTGGTATATGTTGGATACAATTTTTTTATATTAAAGCAACTCCAACCCACTCTTCAAAAGCTATTTTTTAGCCATTTTACCAAGCCCAACACCACAAAACCTCTCCAACCCACTCTCTATTTTTCATTTCACCAAAAAAGACTCACTAGATTTGGAGAGCCCTTCAGCCTCACCAAACTTTATGCTACAGGATTCTTCACACATAGTCTTCTTCATCAACAACTTTTCTTCCTTAAATAGATGACTCAACAGCAATCAAGAGCTTGGAGTTTCAATCAGGTACTCCATTCTTCTTCATCAACCATGCCGAAAACCCACGTCCTCCCCCATGGCAAAACTGAAATCGGAACCCCTCTCCCCCTCCCCCTATGCTGAGAACTCTATTGGGTTGAATTGATTTAAATTTGGGGTTGAATTTTGGGTTAAATTGATTATTGGGCAGCTCTTATACTATTGTAGAATTGCTATCATTTAAATTGATTATTTTGTTTTTGTCATTTGAATATGATCTTAGACTTTCTTAAAGTGGATGGTTGTTAAATTACGATTGGGTTGGATTGTTATTGGTTGAATTGGTGAAAATTATGTATGGTTGAAGTGACTTTGGTTTTGGTCATTTGAAGTTGCTCTTAGACTTGCTTAAAGTGGATGGTTGTAAAATTGCTATTGGGTTGGATTGCTATTGGTTGAATTGATGAAAATTATTTATGGTTGAATTCCTATGATTGAATTAACTTTTGTTTTGTTCAATTGGTTTTTCTCATTTAAAGTTACTTTTAGAATTATTTAACATGGATGGGTGTTAAATTGATATTTGGTTATATTATAGGCATTATTTGTGGAACCATTTGAACATAGTTCTTACTTTACCAATCTTTTGAATGATGGTAACTTCGACGAGTTTAACACCGAATCGGTAGATCACATAGGACAATCTCCTCAAGCAGAATCCACAACAAAAAAGACTCGAGGTGGCAACTTTACAGATGAAGAGGACGTAATGATAATCTCGGCATGGCTTAATATTAGTTTGGATGCTGTGCAAGGAAATGACCAAAAATCAAAGATGTATTGGCAAAGGGTTTGAGAGTATTATAACAATTACAAAACGCAGGTAGATTGTAGTCGTACTGTTATTTCTTTGATGAATCGTTGGTCGACTATTCAGATAGCAACTAACAAATTTTGTGGTTGCTTTTCCTAAATTGAAAGGTTGAATCAAAGCGGTTTGGCTAAGAAAGATAAGGTATGAGTGTATTTTTAATTATAGTTTCAAAATAATGCACTTTTATTTACATGATACATACATGTTTTTTTACAATTTTTAGATTCGTGATGCCAAGAAGTTGTACAAGGAATTGTATAAATCTATTTTTCAGTTTGAACATTGTTGGGATGAGTTAAGATATCAACCAAAATGGTTGGAGGATTCTCAAAGAAAGAAGTAAAAAACAAAAGGTAGTGTAACTCCTTGTAGCTCTACTCCTACACTAGGATTGACAAATTTAGGTGATGACAGAGGTTCATATGGGGGCTTAAAGAGGTCACTTGGAAGGAAGATTGAGAAAGAGCAAGTAAGAAAATCAAAAAGCAAATTGTCTGGAGGCTATGATACAAGTTCTTATTTTGTGAAATTGTTAGAAGATATGAAGAAAGAGAAGAAGATAATGAATGAGAAGAAGGTCAAAATGCTTGAAAGATGTTATCTTCAAGAGCGACTAGATCAAGAGAAAGCAAGGATGCACATGGAGCAATTAAGAGAGGAAGAGAGAATAATGTTAATGGATACGAGTGTCATGCCTCCGATGCAAGCCGAGTATTATAAGCGCCGTCAAATGAAAATCTTGGGAAAGATGTAGTGTTTTTTTTTTCGCCCCATATACTAACAACTTTTGAGTAATAGTAACAACAAGAAGTACTGTAATAAGTATTTATAGACAATGAATGTTTAACTAGTGCCTATAAATTTTCATGCATATTTCATAGGTATTCGATTATATCAGTTTAAAATTTCGAATGAGTTTCTCAATCTCTAATACGATGTTGAGTATGAATAAATATTCATAGAGCAAAGTATTATCCTTCTTTGTAATACGATGTTGAGTATGAATAAATATTCATAGAGCAAAGTATTATCCTTCTTGAAACCCTGCTTCTAACAGCTTGGAGGAGGACAATCTGAATGCTTCATTTTGGTTCTTTGTCTCTCTCTCTCTGGTTGACTTGGGCCATCCAGCAGCACTTCATATTGAAACCACTATCTCCTGTCAAATTAAGGGGCTTCTTCAAGAACTACAAGCCCCTTAACTGAAAAAGTTGACTCACAATGCTGTGAAATTTAAAGCCTCTAAAGAATATGTAGGAGCAGAAAAAATAATAATAATAAAAAAAGCAAGGATAAGACTAAGGTATTCAAAATGATGCTCAATTTGGTGGGTTATACCAAAATGATTTTCTTTGAAATTAATTCTAATACTATGACTTCATTAACAATGGAAAGTGCATGAAAATAAAAAAAAATTAATTTTTTTCTTTGTTTGATCAACTTGAAGTACAATTTTTGAAGAAAGTTTTTTTTTCCCTCTTAAGTGTTAAATTTTTCCGCAACCAACTGCTTTGGTTTCTCACAAACTGTGCGGAAAAATTTTTGTTTCTCGCGAAAGTTGCTTTATTTTTCTGTTTTGTTCACTTACCTTTTTTTTTTTCCATTTGATTGATATGATTTGGATAATTTAGTACTTGAACCAATTTTTCTAGCAAACTTTTTTATTCTAATCAAATGCATACCCGAAAATAAATTTTCATTTATATTTCTTTTCTTTCACTTCACTTTCTATTTTTTTTATTTTCTATCATTTATTTATTTCTAACCAAATGGAACCTACAAAATTGATTCTAACAACTTTTTATACAGTTGCTATATTGTAATTTCAATGATTTCATCACAAGTATTATTGTGACCAACAAATTATTCGACCCCATAATAGGATATAGGGTAAAAATTATAGTCGGTCACTAAACTTTGCCTTTAATTTTAATTTAGTGCTTGAATTTTTAATTGTTCTAATTTAACCATTCAATTATCAATTTTACTTTAACTATGTATTTTCATCCATTTCTATTGTTAGATTATCTAAACTAGTTTAATCTGAGTTATTTCATTGTTGATCCAACGGTGAAAATTGACGAAATAACTTAATTGAGACAAAATTGAGATAATTAAAGGTTTAGTGATCAAATAAAAACCAAAATCAAAGTTCAAAGGCCAGTTATGATTTTTACCATAGGATACAATGCATTAGAAGAAACACTAATATAAATTCGTGTGTACAAGACACGCTTATTGTTTTTTTAAGTCAAAAAATATGTTTTACATTAAGATAATAAATTTAAATAGTGTCTAAAAGTGGAACGACGTCGCTTCGTATAGGAACTTAGTTTAGAGCCAAACTGGCGGCGTTATAACAACCGTCAAAACGACCAACAATAGCTTGAAACCTCTCCTCTACTTCGGCTTCAACCGATAAGGTTCTCATCCCTCTCTCTCTCATCAATGGCAGAAACCACCAGAATCCTCCACACCACACTCATACCAAGTTTCTTGCAAAACCCATCCCCACCTCTCAAAACCACTCACTTTCACTCTCAAACCATCCTGCGACGAAACCCAATTCGATGCTCTATCTCTACCAGTAGTGACACCACCAAAAGCACCACAACGGACCATCTTCAGATTCCGTGGGGCTGCGACGTAGATTCTCTAGAAAATGCGTCGGCGTTGCAGAAATGGCTGTCGGAATCCGGTCTACCTCCCCAGAAAATGGGCATAGAGAGGGTGGATATTGGGGAGAGAGGGCTAGTTGCTCTCAAGAATATCAGGAAGGGAGAGAAGTTGCTTTTTGTGCCTTCCTCTCTTTTCATCACTGCAGATTCGGTATGATTGTTCTCTCTCAAAACTATTCCATTTTGTCAAAATCTTTAACTGAGTTTTCTGTGAATTGAATAATTGTTCCCATGTTCAAGCTCATGTAATACTTGTGTAGAACTGAATTAATGGAAAATTTTCTTTAACTGCTAATTGTTCCCGTGCTCAAACTCATGTAATACTTGTATAGAACTGAATTAATGGAAAAATGTGAACTATATTGAGTTGGTATCTTTAACTGCTAGTCTGCTACATATTTGTCTTAAGTACTTGTGTAAATTCTTATGTTCTAATTCGGGGACATAGAATTTCAATTCATCTGACCAGGGTTCTCAATCTTCCAACAACCGCAATTTGGAGGGTTTGTGTGATATTGGGGAATGTGTTGATTGAGTTGTCGGCCATCGGCCAGATGATTTTTTTTGAGTGAAAAATTTTTTTGGGGATCAATTTTGTACCATTGGATAAAAATTAGATCAATCTTGATTGTTGTTGTCTCTTTCTAAGTTGAGAATTCAACTTCCTAACTGTAATATTAGGTAGATATTGATATGTCACATAAGCAAATTATGGTGTAGTGACTGTAGTCTCATTGGTGTCAATTTTCAATTCTTGTAAATATAATTGCCAACGTAAATATTAAACCTTTTATGAATACGAGTTCATTGGAGACATGCCAGTGACTAATTTAGTTCTCTTTTATCTCTCATATTTTTACTACTTTGCATTGTATTAGTTTTTTAGTGGTCTTCAATTCAGTATGGGCTTTTTTTTCACAAAGTTTTATTGTGCGTTCAGTTCTTAGAATGTTTACCAGGGAATTTGTTGTAAATTTTTTTTTTTGTAAGAACATCAGATGACTTATTTACTGTACTTTCCAACTACGGATCTACTTTACCGTAAAATATAAATGCATTCATTTTTTGTGTCAATCTTGGATATCAGGAGTGGAGCTTCCCAGAGGCTGGTGAAGTTTTAAAAAGGTATAATGTACCGGATTGGCCATTGCTTGCGACCTATTTGATTAGCGAGGCAAGTCTCATGAAGAATTCAAGATGGAGTAACTATATATCAGCCTTGCCTAGACAGCCCTACTCACTTTTGTACTGGTGAGCTTTGTTCTCTATCGAATTGTTGGCAAGGAGAAGTTCTTCGAGACTTTTATCCTTCTGGTGTTATGTAAAGGGTCTGCGCTCAATGGTTTTCCCTACAGCCTCTTTAAATCGTTTCAGGACTCGTTCAGAACTTGATAGGTACCTGGAAGCTTCACAGATTAGACAGCGGGCAATTGAAAGGATTAATGATGTTACTGGCACGTATGGTAATTTATTCTCATTACTTCTTAGCTTGGTTTTAGTTCATATTTCTTTATTAGTTCACATTATCATGGAAAAGCTTAAATTTTTAGGAGTGAATAATTTTGTCATACTATTTACTGAGCTGTAATTCCAATCTCTTGGGCAGATACGATGACTTGAGATTAAAGATATTTTCCAAATATCCTCATTTATTTCCAGAAGAGGTAATTATTTCTTACAGGCTTCCTTTTTTTCTCCCGGTCCATTTTGGAATTATTGTGACTCTGTAATCTCTTAAGTCTTGATGCTATTTTACTATTTCAAGGACATCTGTGAATCTGTCTCCATGTGTGTGTGCGTGTCTTTTTTTTTTTTTTTGGGGGGGGGGGTTGGCACTTATTTGTGCTTTCTGTTCTGGAACATGCATCTTCACCCATGACCAAAAGGAGTTGCACTGCTAGTCCCCAAACTGGTAGTCCAAATACATCATCTGTTCCCTTGAAAAGGGTATGACATCTGTGATCTGTGGGTATGGATACCAGCTTCACATTCCAAAATAGACATGGGGTGTCAAACACGATAATCTAAAAAAAGGACACTGGATGTCTAGTTCTACAACAACTAAAGTACAGCAGTTATTTTTCTTAATTGAAATGGGGCTGGGAGGACCTGGTGGTTCTGTCAACAAGCATCTGACATACCAATTGTCGTTGGGAAGATGCGTTGTACCTATATCATAGCATGATTGAAAGTGAATTTTCCTTTCATGGGAACACACTTGAATTGTATCTACAATTAAGAAGATCAGGACCAGTCATCCACAGGGCACTGGCCATTGTGTGAAGCATATGTATGATTGCTGATGAGGTCATATAGTGTGTTCAGATTAGATGTTTACACCCAAGAAACTCAGCTAGTAGCTGTTACTAATTCTTTAACCTTGTTGTGCCCTTCGTCAACACACGTTGCCCACTTTTTGATCACATTCCATGGTTATTGTTCAACCAATAATATTTGGAAATAAGTACAGTAGATAACTTAATACATCTTATTTTTTTATCCTTCCTCTGCAGTCTTTATATTTACTTCCAACTCTATTTGTTTATAAAAAAAGGTGGTCTAGTGTACGAGTTTCTTGCCACTGCGGGGACTGGGGAGGCCAACTCTAGAGTTTTCTTAGTTTGAAAAATCGAGCTTAATGCTAAGCTGAACATGCATATTATAAAACCTTATATTCTGTAAGCTGTGACTGGATTCATTAGTGCTATATTTTTTATTGTTTTTCTAATCATAGCCATCACATTTGTTTGAACCTGTGCTATGTGTAACTCAGGTGTTCAACATGGAGAGTTTCAAATGGTCATTCGGAATTCTTTTCTCACGATTGGTGAGTTTCCACCAGTGACGTGGTTGTTAAGTTCGTTGCCTTTAGATACCACATACAGATGAGATCCTTTTAATTTGAATTTACATTCCTTTTTAATGCACCTTATTGCTGTGTAAAGCGAATGCACTTTTGAAAGAAATTTTGAATATAGCACCATTGATTATAGTTAAAATCTCTAAATTTCTGCACTCTGTCTTCTGCATACTGTTTTTCTGTTTAATTTTTGTCAAATAAAATTAGTTTCAAAATGTTATATGAAATAGAAATTAGACACTTTGTATTCTGCAAAGCCAACCTTCCATCTTTGCTATCTCTTTCTTGGCATACTTCACTGGGACTGATGCTTAAATCTGAATATTCTTTTTGGACTTCGAAATGAATGCTAATGCGTAAAACTGAATGTTTAGACCTGTTCCCTTAAACACAGGTCCGGTTGCCCTCAATGGATGGAAGGGTTGCCTTGGTTCCTTGGGCCAACATGCTGAATCATAGTTGTGAGGTTGGTGCAAGACCGCAGTCCTCTTAAATACTTTTGAGCAAAAAAAATATAAAGCATCTAAACTCTAACTAGGCGCAGTTGTGTTTGATTGCAAGGTGGAAACATTTTTAGATTATGATAAATCTTCACAAGGTGTTGTGTTCACAACTGATCGGCCATATCAGCCAGGTGAGCAGGTAAACAAATCCAGGCATACTCATTAATTTATTAGAGGATGTTTATATTTTATAGGATTGGACCAAGTACTTCTTGAACAATTTCAACTTAACAACCATAAAATATTGTGCTTTTATTAAAATTGCTTTATAAAGCTAGTTATTTGTTTTATTTGTATTCTTTTCTCATCAAGATGTACATACAGTGGTCTGCATCGTATATAGCTAAATTGAAATATTATACAACTTTATTTCTTGGCTTCTTTTTGAGCATCAAGGACTTCAATAATATTCCTTTATTTAGTATCACAGTGAGTTGGAGGGCATCTTGCGGATTTTAACATGATACAATTGTCACTTCTTTTGTTTTTCTTTTTATTGTACTAATCATTAGGTTGGACGACTTCTCCACTTTTGGTCAATCATTGTAATGCTGTTTCTTCCAGTTATAATACAATTGTTGTTTCTGACTGAAAAAAATATTATACAATTTTGAATGTCAATGAAGTTTTCCCTCCTATGCACGCATAATAATGCCGCTTGAAAACTTTTACCCTGAAGTCGATGGTACTGTATGGGAATACTATCTATCTTACTGCTTGCATATTTTATACAGGTTTTTATATCATACGGTAAGAAGTCTAATGGAGAGCTACTGCTGTCATATGGATTTGTTCCTGGGGAAGGGACCAATCCTAGAGATTCAGTTGAGTTGTCGTTGTCTCTTAGAAAATCTGACAAATGTTATAAGGAGAAGTTGGAGGCTCTGAAGAAGTATGGATTGTCAACGTGAGTACTGATTGATGAATGGAATCATTTAAGGCTGAAAAAACCACTTTCAAAAAACGTGTTTACTGTTGTTAGTTTTGATGTGATTTTGGCTGAACTTACATATGAATCCGTAGCTGGGACTACCAATTAGTCTTACATTTTTATCTTTCCATTACATTGTTGTGCCAATGTATTATCTACTATGAACAGGCCACAATGTTTTCGTTTGCAAATCACTGGTTGGCCTCTGGAGTTAATGGCATATGCTTATTTAGCAGTCAGCCCCCCAAGTATGATCAGACAGTTTGAAGAGGTCAGACATCTTTACTTTCTTAGCCATAACATTAACCATTCAATATCTTACAAGAAATCTCACGTTACTCTAGTCCAGATGGCTGCAGCAGCATCTAATAAGACATCATCCAAAAAGGATATCAGATATCCGGAAATAGAGGAACAAGCACTACAATTTATCTTGGATGCTTGTGAGTCCAGCATTTCAAAATACACCAAATTCCTTCAGGTCAGAGAATTCTTCCAATAATTGTTATTGAAATGTATGATTTATGGGAAACAATTTTGCTGATGGATATTTCTTCACACGGTAGTCTTGAAGAATTGTAGAAAGTCCTTTTTGTATATCTGGTCATGGAGTTGCAAATCAGAATTTTTAATTCTCCCTTATATCCCAACAGGCAAGCGGATCTATGGATTTGGATGTGACATCTCCAAAGCAGCTCAATCGGAAATTATTTTTGAAACAACTAGCGGTAGACTTGTGTACTAGTGAACAGAGGATATTGTTTCGTTCCCAGTATGTAAGATACATCTCTTCTTTTGCAAGTCGATTATTCTTCCTAGAATCTTTAGCTTATAATTCTTTTGCAAGTTGTGTACATCAACTTAAAAGCCTCCATTGGGTTCCATCTTCTACAAATTTTGGGAAAGCTCATCAACAGCCTGGTTTTGGATGCAATATGTTAGCTTGTCTCCTTATATTGCTTTTTTATTTGTCTGCTTACCGGTAACTGTGCACACTCTGGATGTTGGTCCCATTAGTTCACAGAAAAGGCAAGGTTAATCATTAGTTGTGGAATATTTCCATAGTCCATGCTAACATGCTGTGGTTGATAATCGTGCCCATGATCATTTATCTGAAATGGAATAGCATTTGCTTCTTCTTGTGAGACATGCATCACGTAGTGGTAAACAGGAACCATACACAGCTTCTCCATTATCCCCTCATGTTAACCTGGTGGTCTGTGCGTGTGACTATGCACGTATGCTCATTTAGGTTTACTTGTGTTTCTGTAGTGATACATGTACCTGTCTTCCTTCCATTTTGTTTGTAGTAGTCCTAATGACAATAGTTTTAACAGTTACTGACATATTTATTATGTTTTGTTTATGTCTCCAGATATTGAGAAGGAGGTTAAGGGATATAAGGAGAGGTGAATTGAAAGCTCTGCGACTCTTCGATGGTTTTAGAAATTTTTTCAAATGATGGATTCAGGGAATCACTTACTTTTCAGTTTTTGAAATGAATATGAAGCATATTAAGCTTACCAAAATCATTATCAGGATAGTCTGTTTTGTGAAAGCACCCGCACCCATATGCATAATTGCTTGGCTAGTGGATGACCAAGTAGTTTGGATTCAGTCTTGTGAGTTGAGTTGACAAATTGACATGGTCAAACATGGCTACTTGGGGTTGACTTGATCTTAAATTTGTGAGATTTAGTTTGTATATTTATTATTGTTGTCACTATTTGTACTGTTGCTTTTTGTCTTACAACTAGCATCCTTAGGCATTTCTGCATAACAGAGGAAAGAACATGGAACTCTAATTAGTTGTAGTCAGAAGAACATCACTATACATCAAAGGAGCTATTTGATGTGGTCTGATGATAAGAACCATCCAGAGATTGGTTATTTTATGTGCTTTGAGGCTGTGCTTGACTTAGTGGTAAAGTTACTCTCACGGGTTCGAGTCATGAAAATAATCTCATGATGGGTAAAGTTACACGTATATCTGATTTTTTCATACACCTGGATATCATTTTTTTTTAAAAGTAAGAGTGCTTATAAAAAGACTTGTGGTAGTCACAGGGGCATAGCAAAACAGAGTAGCCCCTTGAAACAAAGCTGCGAAGTCTATGAACTTTCAGGTTATTGCAAAACAGATCACTGATATTTTTTATTCATGAAATTGAGCATAATTTTGCGAAGAAATTCAAATTCATGCACTTTTTAATTATTTTATAATATTTTTTGAAGTACTTTTTAAAGTACTTACTAATTTTCTTGCTTCTTCCAATTTTAATACTTACTAAGATTCATATAAATTACTTACTTTTGTTATTTTGTGATAAAATGTGTTTTTATTTTTATGACAAGATTAATTATTAATTATTAGTATAAAATATTGAATAAGGAAATTTGTTCATTCTCTATTTATAAATATACACAATCTCCATCAATTTGTGTAGAGAGAGAAACGGAGTTTCGAACTACACCAGAACAATTCTTCGGTCAAGTAATTCACGGTTTGTTTGTTTGTTTGTAGTAAAAGCTTTAGGTATATTCATTATTATATATTTTTAATTTTACATAATTAATATATAGAAATTATTATAAACAGCTTGGAGGAGGACAATCTGAATGCTTCATTTTGGTTCTTTGTCTCTCTCTCTCTGGTCGACTTGGGCCATCCAGCAGCACTTCATATTGAAACCACTATCTCCTGTCAAATTAAGGGGCTTCTTCAAGAACTACAAGCCCCTTAACTGAAAAAGTTGACTCACAATGCTGTGAAATTTAAAGCCTCTAAAGAATATGTAGGAGCAGAAAAAATAATAATAAAAAAAAAAGCAAGGATAAGACTAAGGTATTCAAAATGATGCTCAATTTGGTGGGTTATACCAAAATGATTTTCTTTGAAATTAATTCTAATACTATGACTTCATTAACAATGGAAAGTGCATGAAAATAAAAAAAAATTAATTTTTTTCTTTGTTTGATCAACTTGAAGTACAATTTTTGAAGAAAGTTTTTTTTCCCTCTCAAGTGTTAAATTTTTCCGCAACCAACTGCTTTGGTTTCTCACAAATTGTGCGGAAAAATTTTTGTTTCTCGTGAAAGTTGCTTTATTTTTCTGTTTTGTTCACTTACCTTTTTTTTTTTTCCATTAGATTGATATGATTTGGATAATTTAGTACTTGAACCAATTTTTCTAGCAAACTTTTTTATTCTAATCAAATGCATACCCGAAAATAAATTTTCATTTATATTTTTTTTCTTTCACTTCACTTTCTATTTTTTTTTATTTTCTATCATTTATTTATTTCTAACCAAATGGAACCTACAAAATTGATTCTAACAACTTTTTATACAGTTGCTATATTGTAATTTCAATGATTTCATCACAAGTATTATTGTGACCAACAAATTATTCGACCCCATAATAGGATATAGGGTAAAAATTATAGTCGGTCACTAAACTTCGCCTTTAATTTTAATTTAGTGCTTGAATTTTTAATTGTTCTAATTTAACCATTCAATTATCAATTTTACTTTAACTATGTATTTTCATCCATTTCTATTGTTAGATTATCTAAACTAGTTTAATCTGAGTTATTTCATTGTTGATCCAACGGTGAAAATTGACGAAATAACTTAATTGAGACAAAATTGAGATAATTAAAGGTTTAGTGATCAAATAAAAACCAAAATCAAAGTTCAAAGGCCAGTTATGATTTTTACCATAGGATACAATGCATTAGAAGAAACACTAATATAAATTCGTGTGTACAAGACACGCTTATTGTTTTTTTAAGTCAAAAAATATGTTTTACATTAAGATAATAAATTTAAATAGTGTCTAAAAGTGGAACGACGTCGCTTCGTATAGGAACTTAGTTTAGAGCCAAACTGGCGGCGTTATAACAACCGTCTAAACGACCAACAATAGCTTGAAACCTCTCCTGTACTTCGGCTTCAACCGATAAGGTTCTCATCCCTCTCTCTCTCATCAATGGCAGAAACCACCAGAATCCTCCACACCACACTCATACCAAGTTTCTTGCAAAAACCATCCCCACCTCTCAAAACCACTCACTTTCACTCTCAAACCATCCTGCGACGAAACCCAATTCGATGCTCTATCTCTACCAGTAGTGACACCACCAAAAGCACCACAACGGACCATCTTCAGATTCCGTGGGGCTGCGACGTAGATTCTCTAGAAAATGCGTCGGCGTTGCAGAAATGGCTGTCGGAATCCGGTCTACCTCCCCAGAAAATGGGCATAGAGAGGGTGGATATTGGGGAGAGAGGGCTAGTTGCTCTCAAGAATATCAGGAAGGGAGAGAAGTTGCTTTTTGTGCCTCCCTCTCTTTTCATCACTGCAGATTCGGTATGATTGTTCTCTCTCAAAACTATTCCATTTTGTCAAAATCTTTAACTGAGTTTTCTGTGAATTGAATAATTGTTCCCATGTTCAAGCTCATGTAATACTTGTGTAGAACTGAATTAATGGAAAATTTTCTTTAACTGCTAATTGTTCCCGTGCTCAAACTCATGTAATACTTGTATAGAACTGAATTAATGGAAAAATGTGAACTATATTGAGTTGGTATCTTTAACTGCTAGTCTGCTACATATTTGTCTTAAGTACTTGTGTAAATTCTTATGTTCTAATTCGGGGACATAGAATTTCAATTCATCTGACCAGGGTTCTCAATCTTCCAACAACCGCAATTTGGAGGGATATTTGGGGCCCACTAATGCGCAATATTGTCAATTAGAAATAACCCATGCCTGAAACATTTTGTAATATTAAAAATTGAACATTGATCGTACAATATTTATATTTCAAAAAACATTTTTTTTCTTCTTTTATTTAATTATGTAATTTAAAATTAAAGTGGACGGAGAGAAATTAAGCGATAAGTGTGGATTTGTGGGGTTGTGTGATATTGGGGAATGTGTTGATTGAGTTGTCGGCCATCGGCCAGATGATTTTTTTTGAGTGAAAAATTTTTTTGGGGATCAAATTTGTACCATTGGATAAAAATTAGATCAATCTTGATTGTTGTCTCTTTCTAGGTTGAGAATTCAACTTCCTAACTGTAATATTAGGTAGAAATTGATGTCACATAAGCAAATTATGGTGTAGTGACTGTAGTCTCATTGGTGTCAATTTTCAATTCTTGTAAATATAATTGCCAACGTAAATATTAAACCTTTTATGAATACGAGTTCATTGGAGACATGCCAGTGACTAATTTAGTTCTCTTTTATCTCTCATATTTTTACTACTTTGCATTGTATTAGTTTTTTAGTGGTCTTCAATTCAGTATGGGCTTTTTTTTCACAAAGTTTTATTGTGCGTTCAGTTCTTAGAATGTTTACCAGGGAATTTGTTGTAAATTTTTTTTTTTGTAAGAACATCAGATGACTTATTTACTGTACTTTCCAACTACGGATCTACTTTACCGTAAAATATAAATGCATTCATTTTTTGTGTCAATCTTGGATATCAGGAGTGGAGCTTCCCAGAGGCTGGTGAAGTTTTAAAAAGGTATAATGTACCGGATTGGCCATTGCTTGCGACCTATTTGATTAGCGAGGCAAGTCTCATGAAGAATTCAAGATGGAGTAACTATATATCAGCCTTGCCTAGACAGCCCTACTCACTTTTGTACTGGTGAGCTTTGTTCTCTATCGAATTGTTGGCAAGGAGAAGTTCTTCGAGACTTTTATCCTTCTGGTGTTATGTAAAGGGTCTGCGCTCAATGGTTTTCCCTACAGCCTCTTTAAATCGTTTCAGGACTCGTTCAGAACTTGATAGGTACCTGGAAGCTTCACAGATTAGACAGCGGGCAATTGAAAGGATTAATGATGTTACTGGCACGTATGGTATTTTATTCTCATTACTTCTTAGCTTGGTTTTAGTTCATATTTCTTTATTAGTTCACATTATCATGGAAAAGCTTAAATTTTTAGGAGTGAATAATTTTGTCATACTACTTACTGAGCTGTAATTCCAATCTCTTGGGCAGATACGATGACTTGAGATTAAAGATATTTTCCAAATATCCTCATTTATTTCCAGAAGAGGTAATTATTTCTTACAGGCTTCCTTTTTTTCTCCCAGTCCATTTTGGAATTATTGTGACTCTGTAATCTCTTAAGTCTTGATGCTATTTCACTATTTCAAGGACATCTGTGAATCTGTCTCCATGTGTGTGTGCGTGTCTTTTTTTTTTTTTTTTGGGGGGGGGGGGTTGGCACTTATTTGTGCTTTCTGTTCTGGAACAGGCATCTTCACCCATGACCAAAAGGAGTTGCACTGCTAGTCCCCAAACTGGTAGTCCAAATACATCATCTGTTCCCCTGAAAAGGGTATGACATCTGTGATCTGTGGGTATGGATACCAGCTTCACATTCCAAAATAGACATGGGGTGTCAAACACGGTAATCTAAAAAAAGGACACTGGATGTCTAGTTCTACAACAACTAAAGTACAGCAGTTATTTTTCTTAATTGAAATGGGGCTGGGAGGACCTGGTGGTTCTGTCAACAAGCATCTGACATACCAATTGTCGTTGGGAAGATGCATTGTACCTATATCATAGCATGATTGAAAGTGAATTTTCCTTTCATGGGAACACACTTGAATTGTATCTACAATTAAGAAGATCAGGACCAGTCATCCACAGGGCACTGGCCATTGTGTGAAGCATATGTATGATTGCTGATGAGGTCATATAGTGTGTTCAGATTAGATGTTTACACCCAAGAAACTCAGCTAGTAGCTGTTACTAATTCTTTAACCTTGTTGTGCCCTTCGTCAACACACGTTGCCCACTTTTTGATCACATTCCATGGTTATTGTTCAACCAATAATATTTGGAAATAAGTACAGTAGATAACTTAATACATCTTATTTTTTTATCCTTCCTCTGCAGTCTTTATATTTACTTCCAACTCTATTTGTTTATAAAAAAAGGTGGTCTAGTGTACGAGTTTCTTGCCACTGCGGGGACTGGGGAGGGACTGGGGAGGCCAACTCTAGAGTTTTCTTAGTTTGAAAAATCGAGCTTAATGCTAAGCTGAACATGCATATTATAAAACCTTATATTCTGTAAGCTGTGACTGGATTCATTAGTGCTATATTTTTTATTGTTTTTCTAATCATAGCCATCACATTTGTTTGAACCTGTGCTATGTGTAACTCAGGTGTTCAACATGGAGAGTTTCAAATGGTCATTCGGAATTCTTTTCTCACGATTGGTGAGTTTCCACCAGTGACGTGGTTGTTAAGTTCGTTGCCTTTAGATACCACATACAGATGAGATCCTTTTAATTTGAATTTACATTCCTTTTTAATGCACCTTATTGCTGTGTAAAGCGAATGCACTTTTGAAAGAAATTTTGAATATAGCACCATTGATTATAGTTAAAATCTCTAAATTTCTGCACTCTGTCTTCTGCATACTGTTTTTCTGTTTAATTTTTGTCAAATAAAATTAGTTTCAAAATGTTATATGAAATAGAAATTAGACACTTTGTATTCTGCAAAGCCAACCTTCCATCTTTGCTATCTCTTTCTTGGCATACTTCACTGGGACTGATGCTTAAATCTGAATATTCTTTTTGGACTTCGAAATGAATGCTAATGCGTAAAACTGAATGTTTAGACCTGTTCCCTTAAACACAGGTCCGGTTGCCCTCAATGGATGGAAGGGTTGCCTTGGTTCCTTGGGCCAACATGCTGAATCATAGTTGTGAGGTTGGTGCAAGACCACAGTCCTCTTAAATACTTTTGAGCAAAAAAAATATAAAGCATCTAAACTCTAACTAGGCGCAGTTGTGTTTGATTGCAAGGTGGAAACATTTTTAGATTATGATAAATCTTCACAAGGTGTTGTGTTCACAACTGATCGGCCATATCAGCCAGGTGAGCAGGTAAAAAAATCCAGGCATACTCATTAATTTATTAGAGGATGTTTATATTTTATAGGATTGGACCAAGTACTTCTTGAACAATTTCAACTTAACAACCATAAAATATTGTGCTTTTATTAAAATTGCTTTATAAAGCTAGTTATTTGTTTTATTTGTATTCTTTTCTCATCAAGATGTACATACAGTGGTCTGCATCGTATATAGCTAAATTGAAATATTATACAACTTTATTTCTTGGCTTCTTTTTGAGCATCAAGGACTTCAATAATATTCCTTTATTTAGTATCACAGTGAGTTGGAGGGCATCTTGCGGATTTTAACATGATACAATTGTCACTTCTTTTGTTTTTCTTTTTATTGTACTAATCATTAGGTTGGACGACTTCTCCACTTTTGGTCAATCATTGTAATGCTGTTTCTTCCAGTTATAATACAATTGTTGTTTCTGACTGAAAAAAATATTATACAATTTTGAATGTCAATGAAGTTTTCCCTCCTATGCACGCATAATAATGCCGCTTGAAAACTTTTACCCTGAAGTCGATGGTACTGTATGGGAATACTATCTATCTTACTGCTTGCATATTTTATACAGGTTTTTATATCATACGGTAAGAAGTCTAATGGAGAGCTACTGCTGTCATATGGATTTGTTCCTGGGGAAGGGACCAATCCTAGAGATTCAGTTGAGTTGTCGTTGTCTCTTAGAAAATCTGACAAATGTTATAAGGAGAAGTTGGAGGCTCTGAAGAAGTATGGATTGTCAACGTGAGTACTGATTGATGAATGGAATCATTTAAGGCTGAAAAAACCACTTTCAAAAAACGTGTTTACTGTTGTTAGTTTTGATGTGATTTTGGCTGAACTTACATATGAATCCGTAGCTGGGACTACCAATTAGTCTTACATTTTTATCTTTCCATTACATTGTTGTGCCAATGTATTATCTACTATGAACAGGCCACAATGTTTTCGTTTGCAAATCACTGGTTGGCCTCTGGAGTTAATGGCATATGCTTATTTAGCAGTCAGCCCCCCAAGTATGATCAGACAGTTTGAAGAGGTCAGACATCTTTACTTTCTTAGCCATAACATTAACCATTCAATATCTTACAAGAAATCTCACGTTACTCTAGTCCAGATGGCTGCAGCAGCATCTAATAAGACATCATCCAAAAAGGATATCAGATATCCGGAAATAGAGGAACAAGCACTACAATTTATCTTGGATGCTTGTGAGTCCAGCATTTCAAAATACACCAAATTCCTTCAGGTCAGAGAATTCTTCCAATAATTGTTATTGAAATGTATGATTTATGGGAAACAATTTTGCTGATGGATATTTCTTCACACGGTAGTCTTGAAGAATTGTAGAAAGTCCTTTTTGTATATCTGGTCATGGAGTTGCAAATCAGAATTTTTAATTCTCCCTTATATCCCAACAGGCAAGCGGATCTATGGATTTGGATGTGACATCTCCAAAGCAGCTCAATCGGAAATTATTTTTGAAACAACTAGCGGTAGACTTGTGTACTAGTGAACAGAGGATATTGTTTCGTTCCCAGTATGTAAGATACATCTCTTCTTTTGCAAGTCGATTATTCTTCCTAGAATCTTTAGCTTATAATTCTTTTGCAAGTTGTGTACATCAACTTAAAAGCCTCCATTGGGTTCCATCTTCTACAAATTTTGGGAAAGCTCATCAACAGCCTGGTTTTGGATGCAATATGTTAGTTTGTCTCCTTATATTGCTTTTTTATTTGTCTGCTTACCGGTAACTGTGCACACTCTGGATGTTGGTCCCATTAGTTCACAGAAAAGGCAAGGTTAATCATTAGTTGTGGAATATTTCCATAGTCCATGCTAACATGCTGTGGTTGATAATCGTGCCCATGATCATTTATCTGAAATGGAATAGCATTTGCTTCTTCTTGTGAGACATGCATCACGTAGTGGTAAACAGGAACCATACACAGCTTCTCCATTATCCCCTCATGTTAACCTGGTGGTCTGTGCGTGTGACTATGCACGTATGCTCATTTAGGTTTACTTGTGTTTCTGTAGTGATACATGTACCTGTCTTCCTTCCATTTTGTTTGTAGTAGTCCTAATGACAATAGTTTTAACAGTTACTGACATATTTAATATGTTTTGTTTATGTCTCCAGATATTGAGAAGGAGGTTAAGGGATATAAGGAGCGGTGAATTGAAAGCTCTGCGACTCTTCGATGGTTTTAGAAAATTTTTCAAATGATGGATTCAGGGAATCACTTACTTTTCAGTTTTTGAAATGAATATGAAGCATATTAAGCTTACCAAAATCATTATCAGGATAGTCTGTTTTGTGAAAGCACCCGCACCCATATGCATAATTGCTTGGCTAGTGGATGACCAAGTAGTTTGGATTCAGTCTTGTGAGTTGAGTTGACAAATTGACATGGTCAAACATGGCTACTTGGGGTTGACTTGATCTTAAATTTGTGAGATTTAGTTTGTATGTTTATTATTGTTGTCACTATTTGTACCGTTGCTTTTTGTCTTACAACTAGCATCCTTAGGCATTTCTGCATAACAGAGGAAAGAAATGGAAAGAACATGGAACTCTAATTAGTTGTAGTCAGAAGAACATCACTATACATCAAAGGAGCTATTTGATGTGGTCTGATGATAAGAACCATCCAGAGATTGGTTATTTTATGTGCTTTGAGGCTGTGCTTGACTTAGTGGTAAAGTTACTCTCACGGGTTCGAGTCATGAAAATAATCTCATGATGGGTAAAGTTACACGTATATCTGATTTTTTCATACACCTGGATATCATTTTTTTTTAAAAGTAGGAGTGCTTATAAAAAGACTTGTGGTAGTCACAGGGGCATAGCAAAACAGAGTAGCCCCTTGAAACAAAGCTGCGAAGTCTATGAACTTTCAGGTTATTGCAAAACAGATCACTGATATTTTTTATTCATGAAATTGAGCATAATTTTGCGAAGAAATTCAAATTCATACACTTTTTAATTATTTTATAATATTTTTTGAAGTACTTTTTAAAGTAGCATTTGTTTTTGTATAATCTATATTTTTTTCTTGCTTCTTCCAATTTTAATACTTACTAAGATTCATATAAATTACTTACTTTTGTTATTTTGTGATAAAATGTGTTTTTATTTTTATGACAAGATTAATTATTAATTATTAGTATAAAATATTGAATAAGGAAATTTGTTCATTCTCTATTTGTAAATATACACAATCTCCATCAATTTGTGTAGAGAGAGAAACGGAGGTTCGAACTACACCAAAACAATTCTTCGGTCAAGTAATTCACGGTTTGTTTGTTTGTTTGTAGTAAAAGCTTTAGGTATATTCATTATTATATATTTTTAATTTTACATAATTAATATATAGAAATTATTATAATTGCTGTAGATCTTAGAATTAGAATTAACAACATGTGATTTTTGTTTTAATCAAATATAGTTTTTGCAGGACAAACGACGTTACACTCGATATTTTCTCGTACGTTCAGCAGAGGTGCACATGCAACCGTCTTCGATACAAAACTAGTTCAACAACAAAACAACGTTGGTGTCCTTCGATCAAAACTCGACTCCTTCCCCACTATTGTCTGACGGCCTAACCCTCTCCCCGAAACTTCCTTTCCTTCGAATCAATACATCAAGTTATCATCAAATTCCTCAAAAAACCAAAGGCATGATCTGATGCTCTATTTTTTTTTTTTTTCAAATTTTCACAATGATTGATCTATTTGTTTGAAATTTCGATAATTATGGTTCTGTTTTTTTTTTTTTTTGATTTTTCTGGGATTGATTGTTTATGGTGAATTGATGCAGATGGGAATTGGGTCATATCTTATTATTGCTGTAATGGCGTATTTATCGATATTTGAAGGAGCTTTTGGGATCAGATTTGTGATTGATAGAGAAGAGTGCTTATCTCATGACGTTCAATACGATGGCGACAGTGTTCATATTTCTTTTGTCTTGATTAAGGCCGATGCTCTTTGGCGTCACGGCCAGGACGGTGTTGATCTTGTGGTAATGTTTCAGTTTTTTTCATTCCTTCTTCTTCTTCTTCTTCTGTTTTGTGGTTTTTAGATCATGGGTAGTGGATCAGAGGAGAGAACTTTGAATGAATTAGGAGAGGGAGAGGGAGAGGGAGAGGGAGAGAGAGAGAATCTGATGTGTGAATGCATTGGGCATGTTTTGGGTACTAAAACACATCTTCTTAGTATCAATGTTGGATATCTTAGATATGTCAAGCCGATCTGGTTGAGATGCTGTTTATTAAAACAACATCGTTTTTGTTCTATTTAATTAACAACACATCTATGGTTGATTTTCTAGCAGCAAAGAATCCTCACCTGTCAAACATCGACTAACATCTATTTGTGTCCTTGTTTCTTTGGATTAAGAAGACGGTGCTGAGTAAGATTACTCTATCGTGACTTGAATATTAAAAATTCGAATCGCAGAAATAGTCTCTACATGCAAGGGAAAAAGACTATGTACATGGCATAGGCCTCATGCACTGTCCTTTTTTTTTTTTGTTTATCTTTTTATTTAGACTTGAAAGAGTGATCAGTTTACAACAGAAATTTGAAATCTAAGTGTACATACCTATTCAAATTGGATGCAATCACCCATTGCCGATCTGTTTATGCCCAACATCCACAGAAACATGTTAGGCTTGTATCGCTGAATCTTCACTTTCTTTTGGATTCACCATTGATCTGACATTTGTGTGTTGGATTATTATCAGATAAAGGGGCCTTCTGGGGATCACATTCATGATTTTCGCGACAAGACTAGTGAGAAATACGAGTTCATGGCTCAAAGAAAAGGCGTTTATCGGTTTTGTTTTACGAACAAGTCTCCTTATCATGAAACTCTAGACTTTGATGTACATGCTGGCCATTACATATACTATGATCAGCATGCAAAGGATGGTAAGAGGTCACCCACCCGACCATGGTTATAAATATGTCTTCTCATTCAAGGATTAAAATTTTGTTTCAATGTGGTTAAAACAGTCGAAATATTTTTAATTTCAAGAAGACCAAAATGAATCGGCGATGAAGTCGAAATTCTAATACTTTGAATTTTTTCATAATGTTTTAAGGTGTTTCGTAATGTTTTGATGCATTTACACAATTGTTTTAAAATATTTCAAGGTGTTTCAAAATGTTTTGGTATATTTCAACTAACTTTTTAGAAAAATAATTCTCAAATTTTGTATTCGTTTCTATTCAATTTTTGAAACGGGTCGAAATGATTCACCGAAATAAAATTATAATACTTGTTCTCATCATCTTCATATAGACCCTTTACAATAAAAGCATGATCACTCAGATTCTTATTTTTCTCAATGTCTGCAGAGCATTTCAAACCCTTACTGGAACAGATCTCAAAGTTGGGGGATGCTCTCCACAACATCCAATTTGAACAGCATTGGCTTGAAGCTCAGACTGATCGCCAGGCATTAGGTACTGTATGAAAACAAATCTTCTGCTTTATTTGTTAACCAGCAATCAACCTGTGCCTGAACACACTTTACAATACCAAAAATGAAACAGTAATCGTGCAACATTTAGATTTTTTTTTTCTTTTTAATCACGCAATTTAAAATTAAAAGAACAAAAGTAAAATAAGAGAGGTAGGAGAGAGCCAAGGGGTGTAAATATAAATTAGTAGGATTGTCTTGTGAAGACCCTGGTCCATTACCGGACCCCTGTCTTCCAAGAGCATTCCTCCCATTACCGGGATATCCCGCTCTCCACCAAAGGATTTCGGCTAACCTGCGGGGCAAACCCCCACAGTAGCCTTTACCTCTGTCCCACATCGGGGAAAGAGTCGTCTCCCCACCCCCATATAAGCCGAAGCACCATATGAGAGCAGTAGAAGAAGATTGGATTAATCTTGATCGTTCTTGTGTTTTTATAAGTTAAAAATTCAATTTCCTAACTTTAATATTAGATAGATTGTTGGACCTGTAAAAAGAAAAAAGAAGTATTAAAAAACATAGAATTGGCTAGAATGCTTGATTTTAGACCAATGTCATGAATGTGTCAAATACCTCTGCTTATTCTTGGAGTAGTTGGAGCACTTCTGCCTTGTTGATATGTTACTTCAATTGGCAGTAGTACTCATGGTTCTGTGACTTGTTACAAGGTCCCGGTTATGGGCTCATGGTTCTGTGACTTGTTACAAGGTCCCGGTTATGGGCAGAGTCGGAAAATTTTTTTTGGGTGGACACTTTAACATATTTTAAATTTTTTCCTCGATCGACAAATGTATGTGTCATACATTTATATTTATTTAAGTCATGTTTGATACTCAATGATTTCATCAAACACAAACAGATAAAAAAACTGATGTGTATAAATAACAAAAAACTAAAAACAGACATTGATTATAAGTCTTTACTAAAAGTAAGGCTAATGGTAGCCATTTAAAGCAAACCCTGAAGAGTTTCCACATTTAAAAAGTGTTGCATGCTAGCTTCGTTATTAATGTCATCGAGAATATTTTTTTGTGTACACATCATCATCATGCTATCAACCAACCATTTATTATTTATTATTTATTTGGGTACAAAACATAATATTTACAATTTCAATAGATGAAAATACTATCTCTACTATAGTTGTAGTCATAACTATTAAAATCAATGTCAAAATCTTAAATAGGTAAACAAATCTCTACAAGTTTTGAAAACTCAATGCTAGAACGGGCATAAAAAATATAAGTGTCAAGAGTTGTCTAATGTCGTAGTATTGCTGCTAACTAATTAAACTTCAAATAATGAAAACTTGCATCTCACTAGAGGTAAATATAGTTGTTGAAAGACGTATCTTTTGTTTTTTTTTTAAATTAAAAAAATCTCCAAATGGTTTTATAAATTCTAAGTTGTGGCCTTGATTTGTAATATCATTACAAAAAATGGATTTCTATTTCACTACACAATGACCCTAATTTTCATACAATAACAAAATTTACCATACATGTTTTTTAAAAGCTCACAAAATGACCATAATATATCCAAAACTTATTTAAACTTTTACGAAGTGTGCTCAAAGTTAATAGTCATAATAGATGGGTATCTATGCTTATTGATATGACAAGAGAATAATATAGTGGACATAACTAAATATACTTAGTTATAGTGAAACTAGAGGACCTTAATTTGGAACCCCCTAAAGAATAGATATGTAAATAAAGTCATTCCACATATCTACTAAGGAGCAGTGTGTGACATCCCAAAGTCCGGGTATCTGTAATTATCCGATTGATTATCCATTGACCTGTGTAATACTGGTGAATATCGTGTAATTTGATACCACAACGTTATGTCCCATTTCTTGGGATCCATAACTTAACAAAATTTGGACATAGTCTCCTTTGTACAAGGAGCTCTACTCAAAACGTAACCTGTACAATATTGACCACACCGGGTTTATCTATCCATTCACAATTGTATAATCTCGAATACTACCATAATCATTATCAGTACATACATTTATTCGTAAAAGAATAAATGTCCCAAAAAAGTCCCATATACATGCCTTTGTAAATATAAACAAATGTTTGTTACAAAAATTATACAAGGCCAAAAGTAAGTATAAACAAGGGACTACAATGTCAAAATAAAAGCCACAGACCGGCTCTGTCGTCAAAGCGGGCCCATGGCCTCGCCTTCGGTGGACGTCTGTGTGATACCTGAAAAATGTTCCTATAAAAGGTGAGCCAACGCTCAATAGGGTAACTCCTATAGAGAATACCTCTCAACCTAAATGCATATGGAATGTCACATGCAACAATCATTTGATACATTCATTTAAATATATCTATTATGATTGAATGTTATAGATCATGTCATGCCATGAGATGAGACTCACGCAAGCAATACCAACCCCGAGCCCCATCCTGAGCTCCCATAACACATGCAATGTCATGCGTATGTATCCGAGCATTCCAAGCCCCCATCATTGGTGTTATGTACACTCAATGACTAATTAATTCATTTTCTTGTGTCTTTGTGAGGAGGTGATTTATAGTATTACACCAATGGGACACCAACCATCAACGGATCTTCAGGACATCCCATCTGCGACTCCGTTTCCGCCGTTACACTTTTCTGGAATTTCACCGCCGGAAAGTGTATAAACCAAGTAAGCGGGTCTTTCACCCGAGAGAGAATCTAGCCCTTCGTGCTGTCCCCAACACATTTATCCATTTAATTTCTCGTGCGACTCAACCGAACCTTGGTGCGACTTTTCTGAGTCCACGTTCAACCACCTACGTGGTGATTGATTTCATACCATGCATACACTCTCACCCATGTCAATGCCCATGAATGTAGTGAAACTCATGCATAATGAAATACAATGTCTATTACATAATAAATACAATATAATGACATTTTAACACGATCTCAAGCATGTTATGTAAGATAATCAACTTAACTAATATACTTGTATTCACCTAGAAATTTAATCAAACACCTAAAGAGCACATCAATTTACACAACTAGCATGCTATGACTTGCAACATGATAACATGTTTAACATAAGCACAAAGTCCACCAAAATAATCATATGTTAAATAATCATTTAACATATATATATTATTTCACAATCATATAACAAGTTAATAATTTTATTAAACTTGATCTGCCATTAAAATATAAAGTAATGCTAACATACAATTAACATGCTTTAAACTACTAACATTAACTTACACCAAGTTAATCACAATAGAATTTTATTAATCACAAAATTAATTATAAATTCTATATTTGACCCACTAGTCAAGACCTAACATGTGATATATACTCATAATCTACTCATTCCATATGCCATATTTTAAGTTGAAATTAAATCTAAATAGGGGAAACCCTACCTCTCGTAGCATGAGACCACTTACTAGAACTCTAAGGAAGCCCAAATTTAGCTTCTTAAGTTTTAGGCCTAGATTATCGGCTTTGATATTCTTTCGAAGAAAAATACGATATTTGGTGTGGTTGCGTAGCTCTCGCTGAGTAGAGCAACTTTAGTTCTTGGCCCGAAGTGATTAAACGGTTAAATTTTCCTAGATCTGAGAAGGAAGAAAAGAGAAAAAATAAATAAAAACTCATTTTTTTTCTCACTCCTCTGTCTCACCGGCTGTAGAAAACATAAAAAGTGGAAGACAAAGTCTTCCACTTATATATATATATATATATATATATATATATATATATATATTTTTATAATATTACGTTTTTGACCCATAATTTAACAATTAATTATTATTTTACCTTTTTTTATTAGGATTTTAATAATAATAATAATAATAATAATAATAATAATAATAATAATATATTTTTTTTATCGGGTTTTACACAGTGCCTCTCAGCACCACACAACTATTTACAGGAGACCTTACCGCAACTATGTTGGGGCCGAAGTTAAGGTCCCATCTTATACTCTGGCGTTGAAGAATAGATTTAGTCCCAACGAATTGCCGTAACTATGAAGACTCGCACCCAAACATTGAGTAAAAAAATTTGAGTTCTTACCTATTGGACTAACAGTTCGTTAGTGTCCGGAAAAGTTCAAGGAGACTCTTGTATAAGTCAGTAGTTTTAGATGTAGTTTGTGAGAAATATATATTAGGCCTATGAAAGATCAAACTGTCATGTTCTTGCCTGTCATGTTATTCAGCTAAACTTATTTTATGAACAGAGATAAATTGGTATTCTAGCAAAGTTCATAAACCTTTGGGATCTCTATTGTTTTGCAATTGCAATGCAGTGAATGAAGGAATGGGCCGTCGAGCTGTGCATAAGGCGATGTTTGAATCAGCAGCACTCATCTCGGCTAGTGTCCTCCAGGTCTACCTCATGCGGCGTCTGTTTGAACGAAAGCTAGGGACATCCAGGGTTTAGTGTTACTGCTTGCCTTCCATAAATTTTTGGTTGTAACTTCCACTAAGCTTAAGTCTTTTTCCTCTGGTTTGGATAGTTGTGTAGAACACTTCTACCAGTCAGTTGCCCAGCATGGAAACATGTACATTACAAGCTTTTACTGAGTTTATAAGAAACGTGACTGCACAAGCTGTTCATGGAGGAGGTTAAAATATTACATTGGCCTTTTCTTTTTCTTTCTTTCATGTTCTTTTCTTTTTTTGAATGTGGGTTCCCGCTCTCCGCGAGACAAGACCGCATTCGAGCTTGAGATTTGCCAAATCTGTGATGGATTATGCTCGCATTACGATCCAGTTCTCAATGAACTAATATCGGTCCTGTACTATGACATCTCAATTCAATCCCAGAACAATGGCTGTCATGCAATGACATGAATTCAACTAACTTTGGCTCAAGTTTAGGCACAACATCAAGGATGTATAATCATAGTTGGTTTACTACACAGACGCAGTAAGCAATTCAATGAGCAAAAAAGGCAAGTAGAGCCAAAATCATAACACGGAAGGTCTCGGGTAAGTTGCAGCTTATAATTACAAATACAGAGAACCAAACCACAGAAAACAATATACAGAAAATTGATGTACTCTGATACTGTCGACTAAGTGCAGACTTTGTAATTAAAATTTAAATCACAACAAAACAAATTCCAGCATGACCCATCACAGCTTGCTATGGCTCCAGTCTGCTGGAATAAAAGTCGGGGCTGGGGGCCAAGGATAACATCACCTATAGTGTTGCAACCCTTCCTTTAATGAGCATCAAGATTCCGCAGAAGCAGATTGCATGCAGCAAAACCATTTTTTCTGCAAATCAAAGCCATTCATAGCATCAACATAACCAATATCCACCCAATGAATATCATCAGACAAAAATATGACGTAGTTAGTTGAAGTTAACATGGATTGTATGTGCAAAACACCAGAGCCCGAGCATCGGGTGGGGGCAGGCTTGAGGCTTCTACCTAAATGTTTAACACTTTAACTGATGTCCATTAGATTAACTGAAGTATTTGAGTTAATCGTAATCTCATGCAACAACGAGGCAGTCAGATAGTACTAGGAAATAAAAGAGAATCTTAGGATGACACTGGAGTAGTTTGAACCAAACTGTGCAAGCAATCAGATGAATAAACCGAGTGTTGACTTACAGACTGAGGCTTTCCAAGAGTTGCTTCAGGCTTAAACATGGAGTCATCCTTTGTCGGTGAGTCAGATTTGCCAGCTGTCCTTTTCTCATTCTTAGCCTTGTTAAAGATCGCCGTGAAACCCTCAGCTGAAGCTGGGTCATTGACATCCCACTCACCGAACTTCGGCAAAGGTTGACCTTTTTCCTGTAATAACTGAGATTATACTCGAGGATCTCACAGTTGTCTCAAGGTAGAAGGAAACCACAGATTACAGAAGTTGATTCAATTAGTTCTGTACGATTCATTTCCCAAGACATAAAATATTGTGAGATTTATGTAAAACAGGCAAATACAACAATTAGTGAGATTCAAGCCAGTAGGTAACATGTGCGTACCCATATGTTCCATAGGGGTAGACAAGGTTATAATAGTTCACTAGGTGCAAGGAAGGAAAGAAGAAACATTTCATGATACTGGAGTGGACCAGAAAAAGTAATCTAGAAAAAATAAAATCAGATCGTTATGTCACCCAAAGTGCAAAAACATGGTGAACTTTATTCTATAATTATTGAAGCACTGAAGCAGTGACATCAATTAATACTCAACACGGTTCCAGAATTAGATAGAAGGAGTTGCCCAAAAGTTAACTGCGATGTTGGTAGTGGTTTTGAAGAGGGGGACATTCTTGTCTATATGTAACCTCTTCCTTGAGCTAAAGCTAACAGCTCAAACATGGGGCCACATGGAGACAGGCATAAGTTATTTGTGTAGGACATATTGCAAGAACAGTTTACAAAGCTTAAGTGACAAGAAGCAAAATCACAGCACGGTTGGAATGATGAATACTCTGTTCAGGTGAGTAATTCACAGCTGAATAAAATGTCAAACATAATTCCATGTAACAAGGATCAACATAATAAGCATAATAGTTCAATCAACATTCAACTCAAACTCACTCATGACGGCAAAAAGATTAAAATTCAAACTGAAGCAAAGGTCCAAGAACAACATACAAAAAGTTAGTACAAAGCACTGAACTGAGAGAAAAGGAGAGATGAACTACAGCAATTATTCAGACTTAAGGTACTTATAGCAAAAGGTGTTCCAAGACTCTTTAGCAAAAATGTTGTGAAAGTATATGTATACACATCGAATATATGTTTGACTTTCCGTCTGCCCATTAAGATCTAAACAAAATGACAGATAGACTACCATACTACAAGACCACCTTATCAATTCACGTTCTTTTCTCGGTTGCTGACTTCAATCAAACAAAATGCTTGACAATATGCCACTGGACTTGGAGCTACATCCTATATCTCACAGAAAGATAACAGATAATAGAAGCAATGAAACATGAGGATTGTTGTTGGGCCCTTTCCACAAAATAAAAATCATGTTCAGCTAGCAGTATGGATTTTGGACCAACTGGAATTCGTCGAGGAACCATATATTCTAAATTTGAGCTAGTTTTCTCAACTTCCAATTTCAAGAGCAAATGCAGAAAAAAGAGAGATCAATCAGCAACGTTAATAGCACACCTAAATACATGCCCAAATAGCAACTCTTTCACATCCCCATTGAGCCAGAGCAACAGTGGGTTTGTAGGAACCGAAAAACATGAAAAAAAACTATAAATCTAAAAAACATGAGACCACTTTGTACCAAAATAATCAACAGAGGTGCCAAACATTGCACTTCAGAGTTGCAGCAGTATGCGTTAAAAAAGTTTAATACTTCATAAAGCCCATACAAACCATAGAAAACGAGGGAAAAATTGAAAAATCAACTGGTATAAGGGTATACATCCTCCACTAATACGCGAACCAAGTAAGAATCAACCAAACAAACCACACAGATACATGTGCACATTAAGAGTAATTATTAAGTTCAAAAACAGGCGAAGAGCCAAAAACAAATTCCTATAATTCATGTATATGTATATGTATATATATACGTATCAGAGAATAAATCGGAAATATTTCGACAAATACAGGGAATATGAACAACAATTATATATCATACACAGAGGAACGAAAGAGGGAACCCATCGAACAATTCGATTCTGTTATTCCAAAATCAAACCACGATAAATAAAACAGAAGAACAGATACACACAGACATACACCAAAAGAAAGAGAATTTATGGGTACCAAGCAGAGAGAGAGAGAGATAGAGAGTTTCATAACATACCGCCATGATTTTGCTGATAGAAAAGAAATTCTTCAACAATTGTAGTCCCACTTTCTCTTCTTCTGAAGGAGGAGAAAGAGAGACGTACAGCTGGCAGTGAAATAAGCGATCGAGCGGTATTCGGGTCAGGTACAATCAAGTTCACTGTATCAAGCCTTTAGCACAATTATTATACTTGGGTCCCCCAAACTATAGCACTATTTTCAATGATTCGTGTAAAATATTTTTTCTCTATAATATTTTATTGATTTCTTTTAATGATATCAAATAAATAATTCATTATTTTTTATTTTTTATTTTAGTGATCAAAGATTATAACCGAATCAATTGAATATCTATAACCACTCAATATTTTTTGGTATTTTATCGAAAAGAATCACGTTGTCAAAAAGTAGTTACTTTATGTTTAGAACTTGTACTTTTTTTTTGATTTTTTTTTAAAGTATAATTTTAATTTTTAAAAAATTATAAATATCAATACAATACCCAAATCGATATGGTAATCTTCCACTTAAAATCAACCCATTTAATGACGTCGTTATTAAAGTGTAGTTTTTTTGTGCTGCTTGGAATTGGTAAACAGTAAGCTGGCAATTATATGTACCTGATGTACGGCCACCTGAAGCTGCCATTGTTCTTTTTTCTTGGTTGAATTTGCTCTCATTTTCGCTTATCTATTCTTCCTTTCTTCCGGCAGGGGAAGGTCAGTTAGCTTTGTTGGAAGAGGTGCTTAGTGGGAATATTAGGCGATTCATATTCATTACAACCAACAGTTCAATGGCCAAAACAAAGCCACCAAGATGAGGATTATTAATTTCTCACGATATTACTTGATGGGGTTGAATGAAAATTGTTAGACAATTCAAATAAAACTCAAAAAACATAATTCAAATGTATATTATCCCATAGATGAGTGTTGAACGAGTACATCTTACTAAAAAAATTCTCTATTTCTATGCTTATTTTCAACTCTCCGAAACATTTCTTTGCTAATTACACCCTTGTTAACCCACTTTTTCAAGGGATTATATGTACTTTGATTATAAATTTTTAGATTTCATTTGAATTTTGAAGCATTACTCGGGTTGAATTTGCTATGCCATACAGTAGAACTACTTTGACACAAATTTTTGGGATTTCATGTAGCAAATGATAAATTTGGGAAAAGAGTTGGAGAGAGAGAGAGAGAGTCATGAGGTATATTATTTCTTCTTGAATCTACACGCATTCCATTTATTGCTGAAGAAAAAAAAAAAACCTGGAAACAAAATGAAAACAGAAAAATGGCCCATCATCTGAATTGGAAGGCGATGGAGATAAAAGCCTTGCTAACGTCCATCTGTTGTCACTAGCCTGCAAAAGAGACAACCATCAGTTGTGGCAGCAACTTTGATTAAGAGTGTCTAAACAAACAGCACCTATACTTCACACCAATATACTAATCTTGCACGAGAAAACGCCTCCTACCACTTCCAGAAAAAAGGAAAAAAAAAAAAAAAGGCGAACACAATATTGATCTTCAGGAAAATCACATCGGGATACTGGCATCGAGATACATATATAAGTTACACAAGGTTAAACAACTGACAGGGCTGATCGGTCTTCCACTAAAATAGTCAAAGATTGAAAAATCTCGTACAGAGGAGATACATTAGCCATAAAAGCTCAAATATAGGGAGAAGAGGTGAATTAAATAACTGAAGTGAAGAGGAGAAATTCAGGGGAGAATGACGATTTTCAGCGTATGTTTTATTAGGGAAGGTAATTGAGGTTCCCTCTACAGCACCAAAAAAGAAAGACGATTTTTAGAAGTTTTAATAGATAGTGAGGTGGGTGGTTGGAGGAAGAGGGAGAGAGGGAAAGTGAGAGTGAGAGAGATGATTTAGTTGCTATTTTAGTTCAGTGAAAAGGACATTATAAAAGGTGTAAACAAAAAAGAAAAAAAAAAACACCTTTTCCTGCTCTAGCTTAATCAATAGTACTAGATAAAGGCATGTCCATGCCAATTAACATAATAGAGTAGGAACTTTTCTTTTCTTTTCTTTATTTTTCTGGACTGTAAAGCAGCAATTTTCTGCCAGATATATATTTGGATGCATATCGTCTGTTTTTGCTCTGGGTAAGTTTTACCATTTGACACCATTACTGAGTTATGTCTATAATTTTCCAAGAAACGAATTATAGAGAATACATGGAGCCTGAAGGAAACCTGGATTTTGACCCTGATGAGCACACATACATGTAGAAAAAGTCTACTATTTGTGTAACTTACTGAATATGGAAAAAGGATTACGCAAGCTCTATAACAAGGGCTGATGCACCTCCTCCCCCATTGCAAACACCACCAACTCCATATTTCCCATTCTTCTGCCTCAGTACCTACATCATTACAATTTGAACAAGGCATAGGAAAACAACACATAATTTTTATGTTAAGAACAATGACATTAGACAAAACAAACTCCTTTCCTTACAAACCAAGGAGCTAGTGACCAGGAGAAATTGACGGAAAAAAGGGGGGGGGGGGTGAGAAAAAACCTTTCAGTACAAATTTTAAAATGAACATCCAGTAAAAACATACCCCCAAAAGTGTGACTAGAATACGGGCTCCACTGCAACCTAGAGGATGCCCCAAAGATACAGCTCCACCATGTACATTAACTTTTTCCTGCAAGTAAAACCAGGAAAGTGATTCACAAAAGCGAAATGGCAAATGGAAAGAAATAGTAAATAAAAAAGCCACATAAACATAGAAAGACTAATTGCTGCTCCTTCTATGCCATACAATACAAACAAAAATCAGTGGTCAAAGCATGAAAACATGCAAAGGCACGACATGGCCACATACACATGCAAACACAAAGACAGACACATACACAGAGAACTGCTTAATTTTGAAAACTTACTGGATTAAGTCCCAGCAGTTTTTGATTTGCAAGAGCCACGACCTGCAAGCAACACATAATAAAATAAGATTAGCACACTCACAATTGATAGAGTACATGCTAGCTACGTTAAATGCATTAAGCATGAAAATTTACCGCAAAGGCTTCATTGATTTCATAGTAATCGACTTGGGAAGGCTCTAGGCCAGCATTTGAAATAGCTTTTGGAATTGCAAGGGCTGGAGCAGTTGTAAATAACTCTGGTGCCTGCACAGTAGATCCCATTTGAGCACCAAGGACAAACTCAAAGACTACATACACAAGAAGATTACATACAACACCATAGGTTCTTTATTTTTCCTTATTCTTCTAAATATTCCTATGGAATGTAGCTCTTTCTTTGGATGTACGCATATCTGAGGAGTACCTGAGCAGCATCAGCATATCCTGTGATCTTGGCAATCACTTGCAGCCCAAGCTTAAGCACTTTTTCCCCACTTACTAAGACCAGTGCAGCAGCACCATCACTGTCAATAAACAGTTTGACCTTTCACTAAAAGCGTTGCATTCATTTATTTATAAGGCTAGCACATTAAAACTGAATAACACAACATCCGAATCAAATGAAATTTATATAAATAGCTGGGAACATTTGTATCTTGAATTTTCCTTTAATGTAAAAGCCGTTATAGCACAATTATAAAGGTAATTGCTACAGCATGTACGAGGGTTGTATTGCCTAGGTGTTTGATTCCACTTGGAGAAAATATGTACAGGTTGGGAATAATTCAAAAGCAATAAATATGTCTAAAAAGAAAAGGCAGTAAATACTAGAAAGTAAGATGACTGAAAATACTTCATACGGCCATATGGATGACATAGGAAAGTAAGGTTCTTGTACAATTCTTTAGATGTTTACGAAAGAAGATTCAAATTTGAGGCTTGGCTATAGCTAAGGTGATACCTATGTCATTCTAGCTAAAACATGGGCAATTTCATACTCTCAATTATGGCAACTGTAGCTAAGGTAATACTTATGTTGTTCTGGCTAAAACATAGGCAGTTTTGTACTCCAAATTATGGGGCACATCGTGCACGTGGGGGTTGGGGAGCAGTGTTAAGTATTCTAAACAAGCAAGCACCGTCGATGACAGCACGCATTTGGTTTTACATATAACTGAAATTGAAATAAAAATAAAAATTAAATATATTAAAAAAGGAAAAAAACCAACCAACCTTATACTTGATGCATTTCCTGCAGTGACAGTACCACCACTCTCCTTGAAACTTGGTCGGAGCTTCTTCAACTTTGCAGCGTCAAACTGGCATGATTGAGAATAATGAGTCATTAGGACACTTATATCGAGAAAGTAGTGAAGCAAGTGATGCCGATTGATTCCCCATCATGTTTTTTATTCATGTTTTTCGTCCCCGTGTATGAAGCACACGGGAGGTATCTTCTGTTTTTCCCTTCTAAGTCAGCAGAATTTGAATGAAAAGATAAATGAAGAGAGTTTGCAACAGAAGGAGAAGAGACCGACAATTCTTTGACTTCATCACAAAAATACAACTGAAAAAGTTCATGAACTCATCTTTCCTCCCCTCTCAGAACAATTAGAATAACGGTTCAGTTTTCAATACAGATAGTGATCACAAAACTTGCATCTAATTGTCACCACATTTCATGGGTAAAAACCCTATACACAAAATGTTTACATGTATATGCTATTTAAACATAGGATGTAAGCGTGTAACAGTATTTACCTTTCCTAAACCATCATCCTTATCCACAATTGTTGAAGGCTTTCCTCTTCCCCCAGAAACTTCAACCTGCGTGGCACCATTATGCTTTATATAGTGATTCCCAAAAAAGTACATGGGATACAGTGATAAATCAGAACTAGTCTCACTGAAGTTATTTCCCATGCAAAGGCACCCCCATCCTGTGCAGCAATACCACGTTCAAAGCTCTGAATGGCGAAAGCATCCTGCATAAACCATCCAGACATAAGTTAGAACTCCTTATGATCACTAAAGGTTTTTTTTGCAAGAATGATTCTTCTACAGTCTATGACGAAAAATAAATAAATAATGCTAGTGTAAAGTAAACGAGTTTTTCTTTTTTTTTTTTTAAACATTAGAGAAGGCATAAATTCACCAAAAACTCTGAGCAATATAACCAACAACTTGTGGATAAAAAAGAATCAGCAAGATGTTACAACAAGAAGGTTTATGTGTTACTAGATCACAACAGAAGGAAGAAAATAGGTACTAAAGTACAACATGTGAGTGAAACTGTGTTAAAGTCTGGCAAAATAGCAGACCTGTGCATCTCTTGATATTTCATGATGTTCAGAACATAGTTCAGCACAAACTCCCATGCCATAGTCATTATAAACATCCCACAACCCATCTTTCAACATTCCATCAACAAGAGTGTCATGCCCAAGTCGAGATCCCTTCCTGCAATTATGAATACAGAATTATAGAATGATAATAAATTGTGCCATTATAGGTGCAACGATGATATATATATACCAAGTATAACGTATACAAAGCAAAACAGTGGGTTCAACAGAACCTGATGTACAAGAGAGGTAAAGTATGGTAAATGAAAATCTAACAAAGTAACTGCAATAATCAGAAACATGTCGCATGGATTGTGTTTCATGATGTGTGAGCAAATTCCATTGAGCTTAATAACTTCATCTTATCCAATCAAAAGTTTTGCACAAGCACTAGCATAGGGCTATGCTATGAAACATCATATACATGATATCAATGACTGAATTAAGGGAACTTAGCAGTGTTGCACACGGATCCATAGAGGCACAATGTCAGACTCATTTTCAGTAGATTTTTGATTTAGTACGATTGAGGTTAACAAAATCCAGCTTTGAATAAGGCTGGCTCAGCATATGTTCCCACACAACCTCGTACCATCCATGTATTGTAAACTTTTAACATTTAAATTCCGTCCTTTTTAAGTTTCAACAAAAGAAAGGTTAGCAGCATCATGCAAGACAACTATTGCCCAGAAGAGCCTTTTCGATGTCCGGAGACTAAAATAAGAAATAATGATCAATCAGACAGTGCAAGCAACAAGTAGACTTGGAAAAGTTCACCAACACATTCTAATGTTTAATGTGTATGACTTTTAGTAACACCAATACAAAGCTGAACTTGTCCTTGATTGTCACTAATAAATATGATACATGAATCAGAGGGAAGCACTAACCTTGCTTCTGCCAGATACTTGGGAACATTAGACATGCTTTCCATGCCCCCGGCGATGACAACATCATTGATGCCCAACTGGATACTCTGTGCTGCCAGCATGGTTGCTACAAAGACCAAAACAAAGCATAGGATATTATACTTCAATAGCACTTCTGCTTTGCTAGGAGAAGGAAAGTACTGTATCTGAGTGCAGAACGCACACCTTTCATCCCTGATGCACAAACTTTATTAATGGTGGTACAGACTACCGTATTTGGTATTCCTGCACTTAATGCTGCTTGCCTTGCTGGAGCCTGCCCCAAATTGGCACTGAGAACATTTCCAAAGAAAACTTCTTGTACAAGTGATGGATCAACATTTGCCCTTTTAAGAGCACCTTCAAGTTGACAATATGAGCAGTTAAGATACAAGATCTAAAAAAACGAAAAGAAAAGGTGTCAAGCCGACTAGCCCATTGGGGTGGACTGAAGCGAAAAGATTGGGATCTTACTTTCAATTGCTACAGATCCAAGTTTGGTGGCTGGCAACGATGAAAGAGAGCCTAGGAAGCCACCCATTGGTGTACGTGCAACACCGACGATGCAAACATCTGTTCAAATTAAAACGCTAAAGTTCAACAAATGACAAACCATCTGAACCTTTGTGCTCCACTATATTTAGTACCCAAATGCCCACATATATCCTAATAATGAAATATCAGTGTCACGGCACATTAAGCAAGCAAACAAGTTCCCCACCACTTGGAGAAACACAAATATATTATGGGGTTGTAGGCATGAAGGACTAGGAACTAAAGGCCTCCAGTTTCTTAGGAGACTTAGTGGAATTCATGGGTTTGATTCAACACCAACGGCTAACAAGATTACAATTTAAAATAGATAACTCATTAGATACGGTTGATAATATATTCAAGTGCTTGCAACATATACATAAAATTAAGTGCTTCATATGATAAAGCATAAAAATAATGCATCGATATATACCAAATTATAGTACTAAACCTGAGAAAACCAATAAGAAAAGTAAACATAGTTGCCGGAGTAAATACCTCCCTTTTTTTTTTTTGGGTTGGGGGGGGGGGGTATGGGATCTATGCTTTTGAACAATTGCTAGCACTTTAGGCACAATGAAATAAAAATAAAACCCACTAATATGTGCTAAGCTTGTCCTACATGGGTAAGTGGATCCAAAAATGAGAATATGAGCCTTGTAGCCTCTCCATGCATGAATAATCGGTTTTGGATGGGATGCTTCACATAGTATCTTCTGAGCTAGGTGCTAGGGGTGAAGTCTCTCTATTTGAATTTGATAGTTAGGTAGTCAATGCACCTAGTTATGCCCTTTTGGCTTTGATTTGGCCGGTTTAATAATATGCACTGCTAAGACTTTGAGCAATACCAATTGAAAAATTCACGATACACTTATTTTGGAGTGCCATGCAACATTTAGCACCACCTAAATACATATCACACAGTTTAGACTAATATACAAATTTTGGAGGGCTTGGATATTATACCTCTAGGCTTTATCGAATCTGAGCACTCTGTTGCAGTAGCCGGTGCCATGCTGATACTGATTTATCCAAATAAATATCTGATTTCATTCGAAATCTAATTAGATATTTGATTTCTCATAAAAAAACAAAAAAATGGATACCAAAAACAAAGAACATAAACGCCCACATGTAAGCATGCGTGACTCTGGAATTGGTTAAACACCTTGTGCTCGTTTTAATTTTATACTTGACAGCAAAAGTTTGAGGTGCCTTCACTTTTAAAATATCAACAATAATTTAACAAAGTGCAATCATCTTACATGATTTACTATTCTAAAGTTTTCTCTCTCTCCAAAAAAACCAAAAATAAAATAGAACAAAAGAATCAACATCCAAAAATATCGAAAAACTTTATATCACTTTCTTTTCATTTTTCCCGAGTGCCAAACGGAAAATCAACAGTGAATGAAAACGAAAACATGCACATATAATGAGAGAAGAAATTAACACTTCCGAATATAAATAGATCTATCAAGTCCACAATAATCCAAGAATGCGATAGCAAAGGTAACTTAGATCTAATCTAAAATCTGGAAATAATCAAATCTCTCAACGAAACAAAATTTCGAGAAAAATGATCAGTAGAAATGCCGAGAAATGTCCAAAAAATGAACTGATACCATGAAAATCACAGAGAAAATTAAGATATGAGATTAAGATTCCATGTACCTCTCTGATTGTAGTGCTCTGAGAGAGAGAGAGAGACAGAGAGAGAGAGAGTCAGAGATGGGTAGCTGGAAATCGAGTAAGGTGCGTTTTATAGATGAAGGGTATAGCCAGACAACGGCCGGATTCGAGCAGGCCTTGACAGCGTGGTGAAATTACTGAAAAACCTTTTAGACCGACTTTATTGACTGACTTGTCCACTTTCAACTCGGGTAGTACTCTATTTGCACTCCATAATTCCACTTTCAACTCAAATGACATTCTTGCCCTTCTCTTTCTCTCCTGTTAGCTACATGTTAGTTAGTGTGAGTGGTTATAGTTTGATCCAAAAAAAAAAAAAAAAGTTACATGGTTTTGGAGAAAGTGATACCACACAAAGAAACATCGCAACTACAAAATTTATTTCTTGAAAGTAACTCAAAAATATCCAAACAAATTCTTATAATGGTTTAGTAGTTGAGTCTATTTTTTAGGAGTAATGCTATTGAGATCTAATTTATTGACCTAATTCACTATGATCTTTAGATTGACTGTGGAGCTCATCAAACATTAGAATTTAGTGTTGATCTAATGGTTCTATTGAAGCCACGTCATTATGTCAGTAAATTAAATTATATTTTTAGGTCCAAATAATATTACTCATTTTTTAGTAACTCAAAAATTTTATATTTAACTTCTTCTCACACCTTATACGGGTTAGCGACATTTTTTTTTAAAAACATGTTTTAACTCAGTTCAAACCAAGTCTGAGAGTCACTAAACTCAAAGAATAATCTTATATGGTGACCTTATATGGTCTTTTAATTAGTAGTAAAGTCCAAACGTTAAGTCGGGTTCATTTTTGATATAATAATTATAATTGATTAGGTAAATAAATTAGATCAATAAATTAAATTAAAATTTTAAATAGTATTGTTAAAATTGAAAAAGTGATTTTGGTAAAGTAATTTATTTTTGTCCTATGGACAAAATTGCTCGAATGATCCTAACACATCTGGGTATAATTAAAGTCTGTGTCAGACGGGTTTGTATAAAAAACCACTTCACTCATTCTTGATTTATTATTAATTCGTATTTAATTAATCATATCATATGACTAATTTTATTTATATTTAATTTATTTATTAATCGTGTCATATCAGATCTATTCTTTTACGAAATGAGTGATTTAAAAAATACTCAAACTCTCTAATTTTGTATTATGTCCGTGTCGTTTAAATAAATCGTGTATTTTAACGGCCAAAGACTTGTTGCTTTAGATCTAAACTCTAGATGGGACACTGGAGATTACATATCATTTTTTTTTTTTGAACAGAGATTACATAGCATTAGGTGAGAAAATTTTAAAGACCTTAAAGTCATCACCTTTACCTAAAAAATGGGGCAATAAATAGATCCATGCATAGCTTTTTATGAACAATTAAAACCGAAAAATCTCAAACGGCAATCTTATGCCCTTTTCGGTTGAAGTTATGGTGCAAAAGCTCAACAAAAAGGTTGGATTTGATTGAGTTTAAATTTTTATATCACAAGAAAAGTAAAAAATATTAGTCGATGTATGTGTAAGTTAGTTCGACTATCCTTGACCGTTAAACAAAAAAAAAATCAAAAAGATGAAAGGGATAAAAACACTTGAAGCATATCCCTGTGATCAATTTGTTAACTCAAACATATAGTGGTTCGGTTCGAGTGACCTACTCTACTCTGAGGAAGCAACAACGGTGACTGAAAGTTTTTATTGATGAATAAAGTAACCGGAAGAGAGTTCCGAGAGTGTTACAATATCTAGGAGAGAGAAGCTATGTATATAGGTGTGTTGGGAAAGATGTTGTGAGGTCTCTCTCCATATGGAGAGAACTTACAATATATAGGTTTGGTGAGGCGGTGACGTGAGGAAGAGGACACCACTTTCTTTGGTAAATACAGTTATAAAAGGATTTGATCTACATGAATGTATATTACGATATTCTCTCTCATCACGTGATTCTATCTTTTTGGACTTCTTGGATCTTGGACTGGGTCGATGTGGTGAAGGGAGCTTAGACTGCCTTTTAGTTGATTTGGATTTGCTTGATTTATTAGGCTTGACCTAATTAGATCTGGGCTCATCAACATGTATAGTCGGGTTCATATCATATCAAATTTGTATTATGAATATATTATGTATAATTAAATTCATGTTGAATATATCATCGTAGTCATGTATATGATTGAATTTGTATTGGATTGTTTATTAGACATGCAAAACCAAATGGATAGGTGGGAAACTTTTAAAAAAATGAACATTATGTCATGACAAATGGTCAACTTAAGGCAGCAGGCGGCAGCTCTAATGACCAAGTAGGTGCATAACCACCTGTGAGATAGAGTTTAAAAGTGATTTTTCTTTGTATTAAGTAGTTGTAATATTGACACCTCTAACTAGGCCAATCATTGAATTGAATAGTGATCTGATCCACATTTGAATTTCAATTAGTTAATGAATTGACAATCCTAATTCGTTATATTATATTTAACCGATTGAATTTGGATATACATATATCGATCAAATTAAGATCTAATCTAAAATATTTATATATTTTTATATAAATATTGAAGAAATTAGGTATTTTTTGAAAAAATTTAGATGTGATTTGATAAAATCTAATTAAATTAAGATATTTGGATCGAATCATATTTTGGATCAAATTTGGATATGGGTAATGATAATAAATTTTGTTAGATAATCGAATAAAGTGTTTTAAACTTGATATCGAATCGATTGAAACTTGATCCAAACCTGATCTATTGATAGACTTACCTCTTAGCAGCCAGTTGCACCGGTTGAGATGGGCAAAGATTCTTTAAGATGGAACATTATTTCAGCAGCAGCATAAGTGACAAAATACAGCATAATATATATATATTTTTTAAAAATCTCTTCCCAAGAATTCTAACTAATGCTAGTAAATTATGTGTATTAAGTATTCTCATTGTTGTCTTACGTTTTCTTATTGTGCCTCTATTAGTCTATTAGTCACAATGTGAGACAAGTTAGAGGTGTTTGAATTTGTTTATGTGTATTTTGATTAATTTTTTTTTTTCAATTAAAAATAAGTCATCAATACCAAAATTAGAATGTTTATAAGACATAAATTCTTATAAACTAATTTAAAAAAATTATCGAAATTTAAACTCAGAACGTATACTCGAGGTATTAGATCGTATAGTTAATTTCATGGCAGACTTATTTAAGAGTGAGGGAGAATGGACTGAATCATGGGCAGGATTATTCTGACTTGGTTGGTTTTTCGATGTTTTATTTTTTTATTGGAAGTGAGTTTTAGACTTGTTTGATAAAAATCTAAAAGAGACACACCTACCAACTCCCTCTGTCGCTGACTATCAGGTGATTAAATGAGCCAAGTTGCAGGAAATTGTAACCTTCACCTCACTGAGAGAAGTCTACGATACCAATTTTTATTTTTTAATATCATACCATTAATATTTATAAGAATAGTGAGTTGAAATACAAATTTTTGAGTTAACACGAGTCCGTCGAATTTAAAATAAAACAAGAAGAAGAACACAACAATTAGGCGATGTTCGTTTTGTAATTTGTTCTAAATTTTTTATACACTTTGAAGTCACGTAAGAATGGAAATCGTTGAATTTGTTTTTTTTTTTTTAATTTCTTTTGGGAGGTTGTTTTTGAGGAAAGTTGAGTCAAAGTCTTGTATAATTTCACAAAACGTCATTGAATACCAAACACTACACATTAGTGAGAAATAATGGGGGGAGCCATTGTTGACTTTTAGTTGCTGATTACCAAAACAGTTTCAGCCAGCCACCACATTTCTTACTTTCATTTTCTCATTTGAATAAGGGGGAAAAAGACACTCGCATTACCCAAATCAAATCTCTCTCTCACACACACACAAACAAAGTGAGACTGATATCTGGAGATTTGAGAAAAATTAGTTGACAGATTGATGTTAGCGCGACAGTATGCCATAAACACATGAAACCACACAAGGATACATATTAAACACATTTTATTGGGAGTACTATTTGCACTCCACGTCTCCACTCTACCCCCATTTTCCTCTTATTATCCCTTCCACAAAGTTACAAAAAAGCTCTTTCTAACTCTCTTCATAGACGAACAAATATTCAATGTAAAGATGATATCGCATCATTATTATTACATGTTGTTATTAATCGATTAAACCCATCAAATTAGGCTTGTGAATCTCATCCCTTGGTAAGCGGCACCTCCTCCCCCCCCCCTCCTCTTCTGTCCTCCCCTGAATTTGTCACCCAACGAATATTGTGAAACTGAACGATTTTTGATTGAATTTAACTGATATGTGAAATACGATATAAACACAAATGACATGAATTAAAAATGACCTGCGACTATAATATGACATGATTCGCTTGACTTTTTTCATCCCGGATTATGGGTCTACATGATAAAGAGAAGAATGGCCCACAATATCACATTCAAATGATCAAATCTCCGGCTAAGTGCCAACCTTGGGAGTAAAAATTTATTGAATTTATTGTCCCATGCTGCAAGACTCCACCTACTTCCTTCCCCAACAACCATAACCTCACCTAACTTACAAATGCACCGAAGGGCTATGTAATATTTGCAACATGTGGCCACAATGAGCCTCAAAGTTGCCTTCTTTGAAAGTTTTTTTTTTCCTCTAAGATCCACCACCTAATTATTAAAGAAAAACTAAAATATACTATGTATTGACTCCCACATTTAGATTGCCTATACAGAAAAAAACCACAACAAAAAATAAAAAATTCCACAGTCTAAGAGATCTACCCATGTCGTGCCTTCTTTGTACTTATGGTTACAATATATTCTCGCGTTCGTGCAGGAAGTATAGGGGTTGTATGGTTGCACTATTAAGAGATTGATTGCAGAGTTATAACATATTAAAACTTTTCAATTCAACTTTATATTACATTTGATTGCCAAAAACACATTGTATTATGGATAAGCTTATTTTCGCATATGTATAAAATACATACATGATGAATAATAAAAAATGGATAACTAGCCTGGATTGGATTATTGCTATCTCACTCTTAATCAGTGTCTTATTCAACATTGGATTGCAATGGGTAGTATTTCTATCTTATGTTTAATCTTGTGTTTTATCTATTTAAATAAAATTAGTATGAATTACTTAAAACAATCATTTTTTTTATAATATGGTAACCAAAAAAGCCGCTATTGGATTTTTTTAAATACAATTTTCAAACTTGAGACTATCTTTTGAAGTTTTTCTCAATGCAATTATCCTAATGAATTTTTTTTTTAGTACATAGGACAAGTTTAAATGAGCTAGTAAGGCTCCCCGAGTGCACAACTTTTTCTGGGTGTGCTCACCTTTTGGATTCATCAGTGGGCCTACAGTCCATGGTGTGGCCTCAAAGCCCATCAACCCATCAGGTCAAGGCCTCCGGCCTGGAAAACTAGTGTGCTGGGTCGTAGATTGCCTTTTTTGGTCCATTATCGAATTGAAGAAAGTTTTCCAACTGGGTCAAAAACATAAATAGTTGAAATAAAGTGGCAAATTTGTAACTTCAACCTAGGGTTTGCAGTTCTGTCATGCCTAAACTTCTCAAAAGAGAACCCCCTCCCCTCCCAATCCAGAATCTCTATCTCTCCACCCCCAAAGGGCCCAAACCATGTGGAGGCTCTTACGCAGTCATGCTGCCACAAAAACAAGATCTTTATTTCACGGACACTCCTACAGTAGCAGACAACTCACCCCACAAAATCAAGACTCAATTCAAGAGGTCACCAACATTCTCAAGCATAATAACTGGGAATTCCTCTTAAACTCATCAGACATACACAAGAAGCTAAACCCAGATGTGGTCCGCACAGTTCTTCACCAAAACCAGATAGGTGACTCCAAACGCCTTCTCGGTTTCTTCCACTGGTCTGAACACAAACTGGGTATTCAGCCTGATTTGGATATTTTGTCAATTTTAGCTGTTACTCTTTGTAACTCTCATTTATATGGACTTGCATGTAAAATGCTTGAGCGGATGATGACAATGTGTTTATCTCCACAAATTGTTTTGGGTTCAATTCTTAGTTGTTATAGAGAATGTAATAATGGGTCTAGTTCGAATCCTGTTGTTTTTCAATTATTGATGGATACATATCGGAAAAGTGGTTTCTTGTTTGAAGCTGCTGGGTTGTTTTTGGGTCCTAAAGAGGTTGAATTTTTGCCTAATTTGTTGACTTGTAATTCTTTGTTGAGAGATATGTTGAAAGCTAATAAGTTAGAGTTGTTTTGGAAGGTGCTTGGAGCAATGTCAGAGGCAAACATTCCGTTTGATGTTTATACTTTCACCTATATGATTAATGCTCATTGTAATGTTGGCAACGTTAATGAGGCCACAAGATTACTCGTTCATATGGGAGAAAAGGGTTGCAGCCCAAATATAGTGACATACAATGTGGTGATTGGAGGTTTGTGTAGAGCTGGTAAACTTGATGAAGCTACTGATATGAAGAACTCCATGGCTAAGAAACGGTTGGCCCCTGATGTATATACTTATGCTACACTTATTAATGGATTTTGTGCAGCGAAGAGACCTACAGATGCAAAAATGGTATTGTCTGAGATGGCTGCTGCAGGTTTGAAGCCTGACAAATACGCCTATAATGCTTTGCTTGATGGGTTGATTAAGCAGGGTGATTTGGATGAGGCTTTTAAAGTCTGGAATGAGATGACTGCTAGTGGTGTTCAAACAGACTTGGCCATATATCGTACACTTCTTAATGGGGTTTGTAAGGCTGGTAAGATGGAGAAAGCACTAGAACTCATGCAGGAGATGGCTACAATGGGCATAAAACCTGATTCCAGAACTTATACGTTGTTGATTGAGGGTTGTTGTCGGCAGCAAAATATGGTTGGCGGTTTTCAACTTCTTGAGGAGATGAAGAAGAGGAACTTGGAACCCACAGTGATAACTTATGGTGTGCTAATTAATGGACTCTGCCGCAGTGGAAATCTCCAACGGGCCAGTGCTATTCTTGAGGAAATGACTAACATGAATTTGAAACCAAATGTTATTATCTACACAACTCTTGTGACAGCTTATGCTCAAGAAGGTAAATGTGAAGATGTGAAAAGGATTTTGGAGGTAATGGGTGAGCAGGGGATTAATCCAGATATAATTTGCTATAATTCTCTTATAGTGGGACTGTGCAAAGCTAATAAGATGGAAGAAGCAAGGATTTATTTGGGTGAAATGTTGGAGAGAGGCCTCAAGCCGAATGAGTATACATATGGAGCTTTCATTAATGGATATTGTAAGGCAGGGAAGATGCAGATTGCAGACAGGTACTTCAGTGAGATGCTAGGTTGTGGTCTAATCCCAAATGATGTAGTTTACACAGCTTTGATCGGTGGGCACTGCAAAGAGGGGAACATAACAGAAGCCTTCTCTGCATTTAGATGTATGCTTGCACGAGGTATTCTCCCGGATGTTCAAACATATGGCGTGCTCATCCATGGTCTCTTGAGGAATGAAAAAATGCAAGAAGCTATTGAAATCTTTTTAGAACTCTGTCAAAAGGATCTTATCCCTGATGTTTTCATTTATAACGCCTTCATATCTAGTTTTTGTAAACATGGTGATGTGGAGAAAGCTTTTCAACTTCACAGAGAGATGTGCACAAAAGGTGTTGATCCAAACATAGTTACTTACAATGTCTTAATCAATGGACTGTGTAAACTGGGTGAAACTGAGAGAGCTAAAAATTTGTTTGATGACATTTCTGAAAAAGGTTTGACACCAAACACTGTGACATATGCTACAATGATAGATGGTTATTGCAAATATGGGAATGTTACTGCAGCATTCAAATTGTTAGATGAGATGGTACAAAAGGGTGTCTCACCAGATAATTTTGTTTTCAATGCCCTTCTACATGGTTGCTGCAAGGATGGGAATTTGGAGAAAGCTCGGGAGTTATTTCAGGAAATGTTGCAGAAGGGCTTTGCTTCAACTCTATCTTTTAATACAATGATTGACGGGTTCTGCAAGAGTGGAAAGCTGCAAGAAGCCAAACACTTGTTGGAACAAATGTCAGGAAAACAGCTTATGCCTAATCACATCACATACACTACTCTTATTGATCATTATTGCAAGGAGGGAATGATGGTGGAAGCAAAACGGTTCTTCTTGGAGATGCAGGAAAGGGGTTTGACTCCTACCACCATAACCTATACAGCCCTTCTTCATGGTTATGGCGTGGTAGGTGATAGATCAGAGGTTTTTGCCCTATTCCAGGATATGGTGGCAAAGGGGATCAAGCCTGATAAGATTACCTATTATATGATGCTGGATACTTATTGTAAAGAAGGAAACTTGGTGGAATCATTGAAGCTGTGGGATGAGATGTTGGATATGAGTGTGGAAATGACTACAACTACCTATGAAGCTCTCATTCATGTCCTGTGCCTGAAAGGAAAATATCCTGATGCGTCAAGACTGCTTGGTGAAATGGGAGAAAAAGGACTTGAGCTGAGTCTTGCTACATGTGGCACCATAGCTCGTGGTTTTCTTGAGACGGGCAAAATAAATGAAGCTGAACTTGTTTTGGGGAGCATGCGAAGGTTTGGATGGGTTTCAGATTCCACTAGTTTAAGTGACCTAGTTGATAATAACCAAACTGATGTAAATTCCAAGGAAGCTGTGAGAAACCAAGCTGAAACGGATTGTGAGGATGGTACTAAGAATCTCATAAAGCAAGTGGTATAATGAGTTGCTTTTGAGGACTATCCGAATTACATCATGGCTGCTTCTGCTGCTTCATCTGTAACCCAACAACTCCTTAGGGCAAGCAGGAGCAACAAGAGTCAATCCATCATTTGGTTTGGTGGTCATCATAGCTGCCAGAATTCAGGTTAACTGAAAGAGGCTGCTTCTACTCTTACAAATGGGTGACCCTTTAAGTGCATCAGCAGATCCGAGACTTGGAAAGGTAAAAATCCATGTTAGTGTGGTAAACATGGATTTGGCTCCTCCTCATTTCCTGTTTCCTTCCACGGCATTTCAAATACTCGCCTACAATACAACATTCAGACCCCACCTGAATGTGGTATGCCCCAGTCACTACAGATGGCTGATTGGTTCAAATTTTAAGGGAGAAGGGTGGTAATTGGAGAGCATGCACATATGGTAAACATAGTAATTTACTGATTTAAAAGTCATTGGTGTTGAACTAATCATGCTCACTTTGCAGTTTCAGGTTGATCCTTGACATCACCAGTTACATCATCAAAAAGAGAAGAATCTTCAAGCAATCCGATGGTGAATTAATGATTTTTGGGCTTTCTGATATCAGCAGGTATTTGGTGTTCTTATTATGAATATTGAAAAGCTCCCGTGGCGCCATTTAAACATGACTCTAATCAGATGGAGTACACCTCTGAAGTCACATAATGCATCCTGTTGTTTGCTGTGACTCGTGATGTAGCTTTTGTAGAGTAATCAATCATTGAATGTTGTTCAATTTTTCAGTTGTAAAGGTTATCATCAATCATCACCACCATTTGTCTATTCCTATTTACCCTCTAAAAAGTTTTAGTAAACAGCCATGGTGCTTCGTAAACTGTGTAAGAGGAAGACTTGAATATTTTTTTCTCCCAATAACTTTGTCTGCTTTGCAACTTCATCATATTTTTGCTTGCAGGGATTCTGGAATTATGAACATTTTTGTCAGCTCATTTTTGTCCTGACTTCTGACTGGGTCAGTTCTGGTATCGGAAATGTAGAGATCAGTTAATTGGAGTGTCAGAGTATTTCTGATCATTACACCAAACCCTCTGAGATTGTTTCCAATCTCTACCTGGGACGGTAAATTACAGTGTATCTGATCAAAAACCCAGGCAATTGGAATCACATGGAAATGCAATTGTTAAAAACAGGTAGCTGATGAAAGAAATTGAGGCTACACGAAGCGCTTGGGAGACTAATGCTTGTGCTGATCCTCTAAGACCATGCTGGTTTTGCTTCAACTATCCGTTTCAAGACATTGATTCAGGGGCTCTGTGAAGGAGAACAGCAGCAAGAAGCCTAAAGGTTGTTGGAGGGAAACAGGTTATGCTGTATTCACTCGTTAATCATAACTGCTTGGAGGGATTGCTAATGAAATCAACCCTTCTTGTAGATGCAGGAGACCAATCTGATTTCTGTCACACCTCTACAACTTATGCTGCACTTTTTTATGGTTATGTTAATATCATTATCATGTAAAATGGGGAGTTAACCATTGATTTCACTATTGGTCTGTTTTTAGATTTTTTTATTCTTTTTATTAAATAGCTCACTCTCGAATGAATTTTTCCTTGGTTGGATTCTTCATGTTTTATCTTGCATAAATCGTGGCTCTGTAAACCAAAAATGGTCGGTCTTTTTTACCTTAATTGTGTTGCCTCTGGGCATTAGACAGTATGCACTATCATTCTTATGCAACATGGTTTTGCATTGGTTTGAACCACACTATCAAAAAAACAATAATAAGTATATAAATTAGTTTAAAACTCCAATAAAATGGAAATAAAGTTGCAAACGATCATAGGGTAATTGATTTCAGAATTGAGACTCATTTCCTCAACTAAGTTTAGCAGAATTGTTGTATTACAAAACAATTATTGGAGTTGCAGATCTATTGTGTTCAATTTAACCTGACCTTGAATAATTTCTTGTGTCTATACTTGATTTCTGATATATATAGGGGATGATGAAGATGTCCCCGGTCTAAGAATCGCAATGTTACAAATCATACAGCTAACAAGAATGTGGAACCAACAAAAAAGACTATGAAAAATCAATGGGGAGAGATTTGAGATTTATCATGAGGTGTAAGTGTAAAAATCATATCATTTTCTCAAACTTATCTAGCATCTTCACCCTTTGCATGGACCTAATGAACAGAATCAGGAAAACACCTGCATTTTAGAAATCAGTTCCTCTTTTAGCAGCAAGAAAACAAGTATAAAGCTAAATTTACTATGGCAAAAAGTAATATTAAGCATTAGTTGCTTAGAAAGTAGAAACATGTAACCTGCACCGATGAATGATCCGTTTGCAATGACTTGACCACCCTGATTGCTGAACGTGACACCGAGGTTTAAGAGCGTACCGCCTAGAACTGTATACATGGTCGCCATTTGTAGAATTGTTGCCTTCCGAGCTGCCCTCTCAGACTGATGAATGAAGTTTTTGCGGGTTTTAAACAACAAACTATGAGATGAAGGATAAGGGTTTTGCATGTGAAAAAATAAGGGTAATCTTTTTTCTAAGAAGAATGCACAAGTAATTTAAAGGAAACCATGAATCCACAAACATATAATATCTGCCAACGCCTATAAAAGAACTAATTATGAAGACATAGGAAAAGAAGTTACTACCTCAAGCACTCGGACCCGGAGTTTTATATCTCCAGAATCGAGTTGTTTAACAAACTCTTCTATCCGCTGAACTCTATACGGCATGGACATGGTGTATGTTCTGGCCTGCAAATATTGAGATGGGGACTCTTACTACCAATCTCGATTGAGAGAGGATATGTGATGGCATTCTAAATAGCATCATCTTAACTTTTCCTTGAACAAATCAATGAAAGCAATATTTTCAATTTGACAAATATCTCAGAAAAAGAAGGAGAAATAGAGGCAAATACAGTACATCATCAGCTTGTTTCCTTATTTCCTGAACAAGTTGCGTTCCAGTTTGCCGCTTTTGTCTTATATCTAGCAGCTCCTGCAGGAAATTTGAACTATTTAAGAGCTATGCCTTGGCAGAAGGTACATTTATCGTGCTACTAGATAAACTTTCCATGTGTAAATCTACTGAACCTGGGCATAAGGTGCAGCAATTTTGACAAAGGAAAAATCTGGATCAAGATTGTAGCCAATACCTACAAGAAAGCAGTCCATTTTCTTCCCATGAAATAATGGTCACAGTGCTCATGTAATACAATTTTCTTCCCACAAAAAAAAACAAAAAGATTCTGAAAGGTTGGTGATTATTCATTTGAGCTTTTTTCGGGGGTTGGGGGGAAGACAATTCTACTTCCACAACCACCACCTAATTTATTTCAACTGACAAGCATCATATGTTCACAAACTTTATCCACATGTTGCATTGCCAACATGGCAAAGCATGCCATGTTGCTTAAGGACTGTACCCTTCCCTCTGCCGATATAAGGTGGACTAATTCTTGGCGTTCTCATCGTGGTTGAGAGAAATGCCTGGAGAAGACAATAAAATATTTACCTAATTTCTTAATTTCTGAGGTAAATTGTCACAATGAAAGATATAGTGCAGCTGAGAGCTATCTCTAGAATGCGATTTTTCTATAACACATAAGATTAACCACTTTAATTACTGCATACAAAGCTGTTGCCTGCTCAACTCAAGCATCATTAGTTCGACAGTTTTGCTGGCATGTTGCATTATAGCGTTCCCCGTCATCTCTAACTGAGTACAACATATGTTTGTGATGACCATCAAAAGAAATTTCTCGTTCAATGCAATTCCTATGTAAATATTAAAACCAGCTCATCTGTAATAGCACCCTTTAAAATAGTGAATTGGAGGTTAAAACTGAGGAAAAAGTTAATAGAAACTTCAAAAGTCGGATTATTCACTAACTTTAACAAGGAAAACTTGCACCCTCATGCACAAAGTTCTCCATTTCGGGCATAATATGATCAATCAAAGCTGTTTGGAAGTGAATAACTTGGATAGGGAAAGAACCCTTTGTTGATTAACTATACAGTAACTGTACTCTAGATAAAGTCCGGTGATAGTTCTTTCTTGCTCAAGTGTCTAGCTGTGACAGTCTATATCTAATTGACTCAAATGCCTAAATTTTGTTTATAAGCCACGCACGCATGGATCGTGGCCAGGGAGACCGAAATCTCAAATGTAATTCTGTGATCCTCCTGACAGTGCAGCATCAGGTCAGATTGTCAGTCCTCATAGGTTGTATAATCCATATGGTCTAAAAAGTGGCTTTGCACTACAGATTATAAGCGTAGACATTGCATAACCATTTGGAAGAAAGTTGTTGATGATCATAATAATATTTTAGACCAAAAGTTGTATCCACTGGCTTCTATTTGGAGTAAAATTCAGAGAGAGAGAGAGAGAGTGGGCACCTTCAAGTGTTGAAAATGCCCTAAGCACAAAGGTGAAAGTCGAAGGAAACCGGAATGGCTGATCTGTTGCTATGGCAAATAAATCCTGCAGAGAAATTTTCAATACCCTTATGAGTACCATCACAGAAACGTTACTAAAACAACCCAGTCAAAATTCACTAATCATCTCATGCTTTCAACATGTAACAATTAGAACTTCAAAAGCTGATAACCAATATGCATTTTTTTTTTGCAGAGGGGTGTCAAATAGGGAAGTACTCAGGTTTTTGTGGGAGTTCATAGGAAAGGATACATGAAGAGCTGATCACAGCCTTATCTTGATCATGATCTTTTTCACTGATGTAAAGAAACAGCCTAGTTTTCAGACAAATTGACTTCAAAAGAACTGTACGATTGATTTCAAGTAAATATTTTAGCTTAACGTGCTATTTTCTGTGATTTGGCAAATGATTCAACTGGACAAATCTGTGATTACGTAGAGAATTCACTGAAATAAGTATAAAATAGCATATCAAGACGATCAATTGGAATTATAACATGTTTATCATGGATATTGAATGCCTTCATTGTCTTCAATACAACATTGCAAGTAGCAAACACCTATTATGAAATTTGCCTTAAAGAAGGAGCTAGCACAAAAATTACGGGTACTGGATCAGTTTGATTTCCTGAACTTAAGATATTCTCCTTAACCTGCTTTCATGACTACTGTGTTCCCCTTTCTTGTCACGGCCTTGATGACGGTAAATTTGTACAAACACGATCTATATTGAAAGAACCAAGCATGAATCGAATTGCATATTGAGATTAGGAGCATAAAATATTTTTGAGAGTTTAATTACACAACATTATACCTCACCAATCGCAGAAAAAGTCTGCTGTTGATCTGGTGTCTGACTTAGCAAATTATCCAAGAAAAACTGCACAGATCTCCTGACCTAGGAGTACCGAATATTTTCAGAGAAGGTCAACAAGAAGGCTACTTAAATGCATGTCAAAATTGAAAATCCTGAAATTTCCTTTCAAGTTTTACTGGTTGACAATTTTAATGATAACCTACCGATGACAGGTCTCCTGTGGGCTGAAGTGCTCCAAGGTCCATGAGACTTTGCATGACCTGCATTTTTGATTAACTGTTAAAGCTAATGCAACTCGCTCAATCAAATTTACGTCATTAAAAGTGATGTGGATGTTAACTGCATACATTAGCAAACACGTCTTAGGTTAAATAATGTAAGCAGGCAAAATCAAATGGTTGTAACTGATTTTTTTTTTGATCATAGGTTGTAACTGATGTTTAACTGAGTATTTTTATACTCAAAATCAAACGTTTCCTTGTTTACTTACCCAAAAAAACGTTTCCCTGTTGATATTAACATGATGCTACTCAAAAAAATAAATTCAATCAAAATATACTGTAGCGTTAATTTTATTTTCAAGTCTCGTTGAAATACCAATAGGAATAACCTTAAACACATACAAATCGTATAGATTGCCTATGGTCCTTATGGACACTAGCATATGCTAGTGAAGCGCAATGCATCCCTTGGGGCTGAATACCAAAAATTGGAATCTTGTATTCCACATAATGCAAATATCATTCTAAGCTACAAGGAATGTACAAGTAATATGTCTCAAAAAGATGTGTTCAAGAAAACTAAAATTTATTCGACTTGAAAAAGTAAATAATAACTTTTTAAATAAGAAATTTCTTTCTCAACTCCACTGATTGATTAAGGATTAGACGTGTTAGTATTTACTATTTAGGGACAAAAACCAAATTTTTTTAGGAATCAGATTACATTTGGTTTCATATAGAAGCGAAAGAAAACCCACAATTTCCAGTTTTGGCAACGAAAAAATACTGCAGAAGTAACAGTATAACTAAGAGCAAAGCACACCTTTTTTGCATCTTTTTCATAAACTGCATAGAAAAGTTCCAACAACCTCTCTCGTGTAAAACTTTTGATCTCTCCCATCATACCAAAATCATAATAAATAAGTGCTTCATCAACATCAATAGCAAGATTTCCAGGATGAGGGTCAGCATGAAAGAAACCAGTCTTCAGTATCTGAAATGGTAGCGAAGTTCAGTGAAATCATTCAATTGCAAAAAAGAGTACATCAATTGTATGTTGAACAGATTGGGACTTGTGAATCAGTCTTCAATTTTAAGCTTATCAAAGCAAGACACAGAAAGGGTCATTAACCTGAATTAAGTACGCTTCGATAGCACGTGATGAAACTTGAGATCGGCTATAACCCAGTGCATCAATCACATCCAACCGATTTATCTTAACCCCTGCACAGGTAATAACAGAATCAAAGAAGCTATAATCACAAAGGGATCAATCATTGTCTGTTTACTAGCCCGTATGGGTATGGTTGTGTGATTTACAATTATATTCCAGTAATTAAGATAGTTTGGATTGAAACCTGGAACATACTCCAAGGTCAACACCTTTGATGCTGTATAATCCCAGTACACCATCTACATAGCAAAAAAATGGACTTCACAGTAAGACTATTCACAAATAACTCTCAACATTTTAGTGCTAAAAGAATTGCATTATGTGAGAAGAAATGGTTCAATGACATGGCCATGTTTGATAGATATGGAGAAGAAAAGGAAGTAAAGATCTGGAGTTACAAACCTTTTATTTTTATGATTTAGAAAAGAAAGAAATCCCAAACAGCATATAATACATCTATTTGGCTGAGTTGAGCTGTCCAATTTTTCAAAAACAGATGCAGAAAATACCGATATGACTCAAACATACCCATATGACTCGAAAATTTTGTTTTCCTATCTTTATCACTGATAAGTCAGCAACCAAATCGAGGCTAATGGAATCCTTGATCATTAAAAGTACAACTTAAATAAAAGAAATAAAGAAGGAAAGTATAAATGAATAAACTGAGCAAGAAGCAATTGAGTAGCCTTTTGTACACAACATACCGGTACTCTGATCCACTTTGCATTTCGGAAATCCCGGCGGAATCTGTCAGCATTCTTTCCTTCATTAATATAGTCGATTTCCTCATATAAAATCCTGCAATTTACATACATTCAAAATTGACCAGCTTTCCAATGAAAATATCTCCCCACCAAGCATAGATATCTCATCTTTTGCTGGATATTCCTCTATTTCAACGTAAATTTTACATTAGCCTATACCTAGCACACACAAATTATTTGATAATTTCTTATTTTCCCCAGTAGTAAGTGCCCTTCATTTCAGATATGGCCAAAGACTAAAAAATTTTGCACGGAAATAACAAGATTAACATCAACCTTAAAAAATAGACAATCAGGTAAGCATTGTGAGAGAACTGAATCATTACAAAGTTCCTTGCATTTTAGGTTTATAACTTTCTATGTTGTGCTTCCAAGCTTTTTTTGTGGTGGTGTGAAATCAAGAATGTGTTGGTTATTGTTAATGTAATAGGATTGCAATGGCATCAAAGAACAGGAACATTATCTCATATGAGTTGTTTACAGCAATTAGTGCACCAGTAGAAACTGTGATATAACTCAAGCTGACGGAAGTAGATGGAAAATAGGAAAGCTGAAAAGATTGAGTCAAAATTGTGAGACGACACAACGGCCAGAGCTCACACGACCAATATGGCTTCATCCTTGGACAATTTTAAAAAAGCACACAATTAGTTGATAGTGTTGCTTGTGCCTTACTTAGCACATTCGTCGTAAATTCCTATCCAATCTCTCGTCGGCCCACCAAGAGTTTCACTCTTCTGAAAGTATTCTGCAATCAGCTTTAAATTCCCTGGATGAAAGAAGCACAATCAATCTCATAAACAACCAAAAGGTAAGCACGGTAGAAATGCTCTTAAGTGAACAGTACTCACGTAAATCTATGTCAAAAAGTTTCTTTAGGCCCGGTCTCTGAACTTTGACAACTACTTTCTCTCCATTATGTAAGATAGCTCGATGTACCTAAAGGATCATCCCCGTAACATCAAAATCAGAAAATGGACAAATATTAAAAGAAGGATATGATGACATGAGAACAAACACGTAATCCTTTTTACAATTTTAATTACGCACACGTATGTAAGCATGCCATTTAATGTAACAAAGAAATCACATTTATCTGAGCATATATTAGTCTGTGCAGAAAGAGTGGCATACAATTACTTTAGATATTACCATTTCTTAGGTTCTCATTGAATTGCCATTTTAAAATTTAGAACATCACCCACTTCTATAAGCACATGTACATCTAATGCTTGCTTTCATTGTCACGTCAAACAGAAAAACTATATTCCTTAAGAATTCTAATGACTATCGGCCTCTGTCAATATTCTTGTAGCATTATATTTCATACAATATTTCACAGTTATATGCTGTAAAATAAATTAACCTGCTATCTCCCTTGGTGGCTCTCATATCTGAATAATAACCATGATTAGAAAGCCACTTATTACAGTTACATGTGAAAAAGTTCAAGTATTTTTTATCAGTTCAACTTTCAAGGCTAGGCCATAAAAGGTACAACTTATACACATGAAGCAAACACCTGACCAAGACTAGCAGCTGCAATCGGTTGGTCTTCAAACTCCTTGAATAATAGATCGATTGGAGCTCCCAATTCCCTTTCAATGAAGCCTTTTGCTTTCTTGGGTGAGAAGGCAGGTACCCTATCCTGAATGATATACCAAGAATCCATATAAAACAAAATAGGTCCACGTAATGCTTTATTTTAAGAACCAAATAATACAAACACTTAATTCTTCACACTAAAGGCGAGGAAACAACATCACTAGTCACAGACAGAAATAAAGGGCTACCTGTAACTTGACAAGCTCATCCACAAATTCACGTGGAAACAGATCAGACCTTGTTGAGGATAGCTGTCCAAGTTTGATGAAAGTTGGACCAAGTTGCAGCACTCGTTCCCGCAACCATGAGGCAGTTCCTTGTCTTCTGTTTTTCTGAATAAAGATGGAGCTTATGGAGATAAATGCTAATAAAAGAAGCAAGTCACGAGAAAACAAAGTAATCAAGATTTCCATAACATTGTTATGCATAGCAAGGGAAACAGCTGATGTATTTGGGATAATGGTGCAACATCACATAAGAGCCATATTGATATTGGACTGCCAATACTCACCTGCTTTTCTTCTGTGAATCCTCGCAAATATGCCCATTTTGCATTGTCTAAGAGAACACGCACACGAAGAGAGAGAACAAAAGACCACACATCTATACTCCTTTGAACAGAATTATAATTTTCAGTGGCCCAACTGAAACCTTCATCTGAGGGCAAAACTTTCAGCTCTTCAAGGGGTGGAAGATTGTCAGGTTGTCTAACTTTCCGTGACTTAAGAAGGACCGGAGCAGGATCTCTCTTGACAAGGCTTGCTCCATTGACAACCCGTTTCGAACCACTCACTTTCTCCACATTATTTAGGGATGGCGTTTTCTTTTTTGTTACCTCACTTGTAGGTATCATTTTGATGGGTCGACCATTGGTACCCAATTTCATGGGTGATTCAGTCTGTCGCATCTCTACTCGAAACTGGTGTAAATTCTCAGTTTCAGTTAAATTACAAGTATGCTTCTCAAACTTTGGGAAACTATGGATCGAAGAGACTGAGCTTGCAAAACAAAGACTGTCCATCCTTCTCTCTTGAGTCATCAATTCCACATTACGGCAATAACAGCTATGTGAAGCCAATATTGCCGCCATTTTGTGTATAAAAACACTGAAAAATAGAGTATTAGTATAAAAGATTAGACAAACTACAAGCCAAACAGAGATGCTCAAAATCCAAAATTTTCGCAAACACAAATAAATACTAATATTGGGCAAACTAATATAATAACAGCAGAAGGCAGAAGCAGCCCATTTCATATAACAAAGTTAATAAATGGTCAGGGACAAATCCGTAAGGGAAGCAGTACCTCCAGAACATAATTTTGTGTCCATGGCCTTCAACTAAAAATAGCCTACATTGATGGGTAGTTAACAGTTGTGAATTGTGTGACTATCAGCACTAACTTTGCACTATTCCTCTCCAACATCCAATTGGAAGCAAAACAATGAAGCAGAGTGATCAAATTGACCATGGAACAGGGAAAATCACAATATTAAGCACTTCTGCTATATAAATCAGCATTCATTGGGGAAACCCAATACAGTTCAACATGTTCATTCCCTTTGCCAATCAACCTAACCCACTTATTAGATTCCAACATGACCTTTAGTGCAAATATTCATTCAACTAAGCTGAATTAACATGCCCAACTCATCAATTCAGAGCTGCACTTTAGTTCATCGAACTTCCTCCCCCCCCCCCCCCAAAAAAAAAAAAAGAACAAAACAACCCAACCCCAACTCCACATCCATCCTTAAGGTCAGTTAAAATTAACTCTTAGATAGATAGATATAATCATTCGTATAGGTAGTATTCCTATTCACAATCATACTAAGAAATCATGCATGTATTTTAATTGAACTCTAGAAAATAGATTCAGCTCCCCATAAACAAAACTTAAACTTTCTATTTTTCCGAAGAGTCAAACTTGATAATACAAATCCTATCAAGAAAGAACCTGTTGTGAGAGAGAAACTACTTACAGGGTGACAAGAAGATGATTCAAAAACTTCGGACCTTCAAGGTTACAATTGAATCTTTGAGAGCCTGAGACCCTTCAGCACCAGGAAAAAATTGATTCTTGAGAGACCCTTGATCTGTGTGACCACCCAGAGAGAGAGAGAGGGATAAGTGTTTATAAAGGGTCCGAGCGCAAAGAACTGTACTTCAATTATTATGATAGTGAAGAAAGAGGTCTGGCAAGAAGCTTGAAATGGAGCAAACAAGTAACGTGTAGGTGGTAATAGGAATCGTTTACGCTGGGACTACTTCCCAATCGACGACAAAGCTGAGAATAGGATCTTCAACGACCACAACCATTCAGTTTATTGGTGGGTCTTATTGTCTTGCTTCACCCCTTCACTCATACTGTCTGCCTAGAAATATCCTTAGGCTAAGTGTCTCCATCCTGTTATTACCTTCTGTTTTTTTAATAATCTCCACAAGTTAATGTTACTTTACACCAATAATCACTCACAAATCATAAATATGAGTGAAGTTCGAGAGACACCAACACTAGGGAAGGTTGAACTTTGCCCGTCTTCGTCTATGGTTCGTGTAAGTACAACTCCCCACCGCTAGACTACAATAAAATAATTTCACATCTTTATTATCATCTATAAAAATCTAATTGTTCAGTGATAACTCATGACAAGTAAGCAGAGTGAAACTCGCTCTTTTTCAAACTGAGTTCACCTTGATCATTTATTTTTTTATCATTAAACAGTTATATCGTGTAGCAATTCTGATGTGGTAAAACTATTGTGCTGAATATTTACTCATCATTTGGAGAGTAACATATTTGTAATCTTATCTCCATTTAAAAATTTAAATAATTTTTATTGCCTCATATTTCGAGAAAAAATAGTTGAATACAGTCTTGACTTTGCATACGAAAAAATTGTATCTATAACTCGAATCTTTAATGTTCAAGTTGTCACGTATTTTTAAGTAACAATATTTTAAAAAAAAGATAAAGATTAACCAATTTGGACTTAAAAATTAGGCTATTGCATCAAGAAGAATATAAAAACATTTAGAATCACATGTGAGACGATGTGATTAAACATCACCGGTTTAAAAAGAATGGAAATAATTTACTAAACTAATATTAGACATTGTGCAAAATCGTCTTTCGGTGAATCTATGACAATAATCTCCGAGGGTATACCCACCCATGGAATATTCGAATCCTTCACTTACAATTTATTAAAGTGCTTATCAAATGATCAAGTTATTCTTAAACTCATCCAAAAGATTTTGTATTAAGGAGTACATTACGTATCAAATAAAAAAAAATATATACAATTATGATATGAGTCGATCACTTGACAATCTTCCTCGATATCAAAAATATGTTTTACGAGGATTGAAATATGTGGACTTTATTGAAATTTGATATTGTTGGTAAGTAAAAAAATGGAACTTGGAACTTGTCAATCGTGGCCATTGCTGGTACAGTCCTTTCTTGATTTCTTGGTTGCCTAACTAGTGGAAACAAAAGGAGATGGCCTTTTCTGCATGGACCACTAAAGCTATAGACTACAAACGTGGCTGTGATTTTAATGACAAAAAGTTGAAGATATTATTGTGTTTTATTGAGTTAAGAATCAGCGTACTTTTTTTTTCTTGGACTAGCGATACATCGAACATCGCCCAAAGGCTACACTAGTGCACACTACTGTTAAATTTTTGGTATGATTCAACCATAGGTTGCACCATGTGTGATGAAGACAAATGACTGCATAAATCAATCAATCACACGACAAAAAATTCAAACTTCCCCGGCACAAATAAACATTATTGTCCTACATCACATTTAAAAGATGGATTTGTTTAAATAAAAGAAAAAATTTGGTATCATATTGACTTTTACCATATTTATGAGAATATTTTCACCGCTAAGTCACCATCAACTGTAATGATATAAACTATTATATGCAAAATCCTTGTGCACTGGGTGTAACTTAAGGACAAGTCCACGGTACCAGGAATAAAATTTCGGTATAGTATCGCCGTTACAATTTGTGGATCTTTTTAAAAAAAATTGTGAGTTTTTTTACCCTTTTGTAATAACTTGCGATCGCTACCACAAAAGTGGTAAAATAAACCCACAAAAATTATAAATTTTTTTCTTGTAAAATTATGCACAAAAAATGTAAAAATTAGAGATACGCTACCGAAATTTTTTTTGGGTACCCTAGTCTTCTCCCTCTAACTTAAGGGCAGTTTAAACTTTAAACTGAGGTGATTGGTTGACAGCTAACATTTCAAGTGAAAAAACAAACAAACAAAAAAAAAAACTCACAGATAGAGTAGCATAGTATAAGTAGTGTCACATAAAGCAGTAAGGGTAATACTTTACCCAAGATACATCATATTAATAACTTCTACAAAAGATGTCACAGCTGTTACTCTGCTCACTCACAACCTGCTGATTAGTAGAACTATACAAAGTTGTTGACAGTACTATCAAACTCCCATTCAGGGCAGAATGCAACAAGAGAGTGCCACAAAATGAATGATTCTGTTTTCAGCGATCAAGTATCACTGCCTGAACATTTAGGAGCAACGCGTTTCTGACTATCGTGCTGCCTCCCATTCTGTATTCACACTTGAAGAGACCAAGTTTGTGCATCCAAAACTCACCTGGTCTCTTAGTGCATTTAGTGTGCTATTGCTATATATATCTACAGTATCTACAAGTACCAAAACATTTCTCCTGCTGATAATCAGGATCTCCTATTGAAGTTCATTTCCTAGATGAGCAAAAGACTAACTTCCTAGATGAGCAAAAGACTAAGTCAACAGACTTTCAACTTCTTTGTGGGTCCTTCAGCAGCATTTAAAATTTCATGCTTTGGTACAAAGTAGCCATTACTGCCATAATTGACCTTTCTCCTCTCCTCCTTACCTTGAAGATTGACTTCAGATAGACCTGAGCTTGTTGGAAAAGCACCATACCCAACAATGTTTGTAGCAACCGCATAGATAGTGATTTCCTTTTGGAGGCCTGGAAGGATCTTTCTCTCAACCATTGAAAACTGACCACAGCTTTGGTCCTGGATTGACATGTCCCTAAGCTTCTGAATTACTATGCTTTTATCTTGGTTGATGCTGTCCCTTGATGCCTGCACAGCACGACCAAGACACAAACTCTGATTTTGGAAATTGACTGTTGATGTTGTTAAGGGCGAGAAGAAAGGCAACACTAATATAGAAACGGTAGTTAGGCACTGAAGATTCATCAGAAAGCCATAAAATAAGATTTTCTTTAATGTTGGTTGGATATTGCTGTTGATCAAATGTTTAAACTGTGACCACAGTTGGCATGAGTTTCTGATGATTAGCTTGCCAACAGCATTGAGAGAGAGATGAATGGGTCTGGGAAAACAGAGTCAAGCTTCAGATTCTCACCTGAAAATTTATGGGAAAATTGATGCTGGTGAACTGACACCCACAACCATCACTGAAATTAAGCTTCAGAACCATTTTCAGTGGTCTTGTTTTAAGCATTTCCCTATAGTGTCAATAACAATGATAAGGAAAACAGTGAAAGAGAGAGGAGAAGAAAGCATGACTAATAATGGATCTTGGAGAGAAGAGGGGGGAGGGGTGAGAGCATTATCTCCCCAAATGATGGAAAACAGCTATATTATTCCGTATTCATCGCAATTATCAAGGATCCAGCCCCCTAAACTTCTTTCCACTTAAAGGCCTCAAACAACTTATTTAATGCTTTTTTCCCCAAGCCTAATTCCTGTCTCTGCCCCTTAGCATGATGATATAGAATCCTGGACTCCCTTCGACAAACTCCATTCATTCAAGACATACCAATATAACCATGCATATAATCATTAAACACTAGCATCATTCATTTCATTCACACATTAGGGAATGACTTGCCCTGACTTGATGGATATCATCTGCTCCTACATCATGGCTACATAACACCATTCAAGGAAACAGACACTTCTTGGAAACCCCCAAACGGATGTCTGATGCCTCTTGGTCTTACTTATAAGCTTAAAAATAAAATCTGTAATTTTGAACACTTGGGATGACCATTTTTTGACATTCCACATACATATAACCAATAAAGCTTGATTTGAATTTCCTTACCACGAAATGAAGTATTATTGTTAAAAGTTTAAGTACAAAGTTAAGCCTCGGAGATTAGGCCGAATAAAAATGCGTCAATGATGTAGTATTTTTTTTTTAGTCAAAATGATGTGATGTAGTACTTCAAACCAATGTTATCAGAACCGGACCAGTCATCAAACCGGCAGGGAGACTAGATCAATGATTCAACCATTGGGTCAACTAGTCGAACCGGTTGTGTAAAAAAAAAAATTATAAAAATAATAATTTAGCTAAACAAATATAAAATATATAAAATTTACTATAAAATTAACACCATTAACACATAATCCTATCTAACAAAAAAAAAAGAGTAAAATAATAACAAGAGTAATAAAAATAAAAGACATTTAAAAATTATACACAAGTTGTTGTAGACTTATACCCTATAGGCAATGTTATCAGAACCAGACCAGACCAGCTGGTCGAACCGGGACCTCAAACGGTCCGGTTCTCTAGTTAGACCGCTTAAGAAATCAAACCGCTTAGGAACCGTAAAACCGGCCAGTTTTTGGACAAGAACCGTGAATCGGACAAGTTTGTAAACCGGACAATTTGAACCTCAGGTGATGAACAGCAGCTCAAGCGAGAGGCGACCACTCTGCTCGAACTCGAAGTTCAGGCGACCAATCTGCTCAAACTCGAAGCTCAGGCGACCACTCTACTCGAACTTGAAGCTCATGATCTCATCTTTGTTATATCTCTCTGGCTCTCTCTTTCATACACACCACCACCGGCTACTGAATAATCTTTTTTTTTTATTTTTTTCCTGAACATAAACAGTAGTTTTGGTAATTGATAGTGCTTTCTGTCATTTTTTTGTTTCGAGAAAGCAAAAATGCAAAGACTTGTCTATTCCTAGTTCCTATAGGGTATAAGTCTACAACAACTAGTATATAATGATAATAATTTTTTAATGTCTTTTATTTTTATTACTCTTGTTATTATTTTACTTTTTTTTTGTTAAATAGGATTATGTGTTAATGGTGTTAATTTTATATTAAATTTTATGTATTATGGATATATTTTATATTTTTTTATTTAAATTATTATTTTTATAATTTTTTTATTTTTTTTTTACACAATTAGTTCAACCAGTTGACTCAACGGTTGAACCAGTGAACCATTGACCTGGTCTCCCAGCCGGTTCGATGACCGGTCCGATTCTGATAACATTGCCTATAGGAACTAGGAAGAGACAAGTCTCTACCTTTTTGCCTTCTCGAAACAAATAAATGACAAAAAGTACTATCAACTACCAAGACTATTGTTTATATTCAGGGAAAAAAAAAAAAGGAAGGATTATTCAATAGCCGGTGGTGGTGTGTATGAAAGAAAGAGCCAGAGAGATAAAGAGAAATAACAGAGAGGGATCATGAGTTTTGAGTTCGAGTAAAGTGTTCGAGCAGAGTGGTCGCCTCTCGCATGAGCTATTATTCATTGCTTGACGCCTGAGGTTCCAATTGTCCGGTTTACAAACTCGTCCGATTCACAGTTCTTATCCAAAAACCAGCCGGTTTTACGATTCCTAAGCAGTTTGATTCTTTAGCGGTCTAACTAAAGAACAGGACAGTTTGAGGTCCCGGTTCAAGGTTCAACCAGCCGGTCCAATTCTGATAACACTGCTTCAAACCCATAAATTCAAGTCTTGTTTCACATGATGTGCATGGCTTGAGGATGGCTGCGATGTCACAACAACAAGCCTAAAGAGTGTGTGGTTGAGATAGTTCTTCATTCGCAAAAAAAGATAACAAAAAATAACAGTAATATAAAAAATTTACTCAAAAATTTGACTTCATTTATAAGTAGAAATTAAACGTGTGAAATTAATATTGAAGAAGTGGACATGAGAGAGCAAAAAAATAAGGAATCATCGTGATTACTTTCTATTTATGGTTTATTATGACTTGTGAATTCATTGCAACTCTAGATTTAAGATTCAATTATCATAAGATAATAGCAGTTGTGCATTATAAGATTATATATTCTCAACCATTTTGTTAAACACACAAAAACTTATTTGTTGTCTTATCTTTTCATGCCCACTTCCTCTTTTTTAGGATTTGTTGCATTGGTGTTCCATATTATGTTACTAGGTATAACCCGTACCTGAAGGCATGATGAAATATAAGATTTTAATGTTCAAAAAATTGATCCCACTATACTAAATTTAAAATTAATTTATTTACTAATATCATTTAAAATTAATTTCTACTTATTATTTTCTTAAAAATAGAGTCAAAATTTTCTCAAAATGTATAATTTTGACAAAAAATTTCAACATGTGTACACTATTGTACATAGATAATATATGAAATAAAAGTTGTGTTAAACTATAAATTAACCAAATATTAAATGATTGAACAAGTGATAGAATTGGGTGATGTGATGTTTTTTGGGGGAAAAATGTATAGGAGATAGAGATTCAACTTGTTAGCTAATTTATTATATAGATGTTTGTGCCCCCGTATCGGTGTCCATGCTTCATAGATGACAGTTTTCACCTAGGAAAGGAAAAGCCTCTGTTCAAGCAATCGCGGCACTTCATCCAAATGAACTTACCTTTTAAGCAAAAATGGTTGCTTCTGTAATACAGCTGCTTTTAGTTCTGGCCTCTCTGGAAAAGAAACCTGAATATTAAATAAAGTGCAGACAAAATAATTTCATGAGTAATAAATTGGGCACTGCTATGGATATGCAACATCCTTGTAAGTGAAATTTATAAACTACATAAAAGCATATATGGAAAAGGATGCCTTTTTCACCACTGACTACAAATGACACAAAAAAAATTCAATCCAATGAATTTAGGCATTTAAATAAGACTATACCTCAACAGATTTAATGAATGGCAGTGGAGCTCTTTCTCCATGCGCACTGAGAACTCTGAGGGACCATTTTGCATATTTTTTCTCTGCAAGAAATCACTTAAAACAGGTATCAGAAATTGCGTGAACATTTAGTCTGTAACAAAAGACACCCAAGTGATTATAGTTCGAAAGATAAAACCAGCAGAAGTCAAGCATATGCACAAAGCTGCAGTATCAATAAATGACTCATGAAGCACTGAGATGACTTGACAGCGGCGTATCAGACAACATCCAATGATGCTTTTAATAAGGCCTAATTAATTTTTTTCAAAAAAAAGGTTCATGATAGTTATAAATACTTGAGAACTAAATACGTACTACAAAGTATATGATTTGAGACAAACTCTCGACAAGATTAGTACGATTGCAATCCACACTAGATTATTTCATTTACATAATATTTGGATACTGAAGTGGCAATAGGGTCCAAAAATATGCATATGGCACAGCTGAACCTCAATAAAATCAGTAATCATCTTTGTCATCACCATCTCCAATAGGGCTCCTTGGCAGTGCTATTCTAATCATTCTTATCAGTCTTATCCCATTCTCATCTTTACTTCTCCCCTCACAATTGCAGTTGTTCCCTGCTTAAGCATCCTCATTCAGTTTCTCACTATGATTCCCTTTCATGGCATCATGTTCTTATAACTAAGCATTGGATGGAGCAAGTGACAACTGGAACTTATATTGACACTGAATTGGAGAAATTCATACTCAAACATAAGGTTTCCAAATGTTGTTATCAATCTGTTATTATAAGTGATTTAGGTATTTATGGCATTCTACCATCAATATATAATAAAATCACAAATTTTAAGCATCTTGTCAATTGGCAATAATACTTGAGGATTAGTCAAGTCATGTAAAAATAGGCAAAGCTTTGTATTCAAAGATGTAAAGTTGTCCTCCTCCCCCTAACCTCCCCAAGGGTGCTGGAATGCAAGTGCACACGCATACACACATGCACACGTCCACACACACACACACAGAGAAAAGTCAATCAGTAACTATTAATGACAATTGGCACTCTGTCTCGAAGCATGGTAGATGAATCATGCAAGGAGTATTATGGAGATAGCTAAGGGAGAGGTGAATGGACAGATGAGAGAGACAAGACATGAACTACAGGATTCAACAAAATTCACTGGTACTTGCTACTTCAATGTAAAAAGAAATGGACTCACCAATAACACGGTGTTTCAACACAAACTTATCTCATATAAATGATATCAAAAGGGAAGAATTCGAGAAAAAAAAAATAATACCTGAAATGCAGCGAAATTGATTAAAAATTATCTGGAAAAGATCAACACGAACATATGGAGGAATCCGCATATTAAGAAAATGCATTACCCCTGCAATTACCTGTCATGGCCCAAGTCAATTGCTCACCCTTACATAGAGGACATAGTCAAATTAAAAACGTGTGTTTCACACCATCAAATAGATGTACGAGTTCTTACACTGATATAATCGCTAAACAAACATTAAAAAATGATTGCATTAACGATATTATCTTTTTTTACTTCCCTAGGCCACTCAATATCTTGGAGACTTCAAAGTAGTGCGCAACTCACTATTGCTGATTTCTTGTGACATGTCATACAAAAATGACTGTAGTTAAGAGCAATGTTGAGCAAAGATTGTAAACCTTGTTAATTTGGATGATTGCAAAGGATATTTTCGCAATACACAACTGTACCTTGTCAACAAGTCCGTGGATCACCAAACTTGCTTTCTTGTCTTTTGGAGTTTCCTGCAAGACCATAACGGCATCCAATAAGTAGCTATCAACATGGTAGTGGACAATAATACAAACAAATTCAAACACTGAACAAACAAAGAAAAGAAAAAAGAAACTAATGGAATGCAAAAAAAAATTCTGGCAAATCTTGCCATCAGCAAGAGAAGAGAACCAGGAAAAATGTTTGAGAGAATCACGAATTTAGACTCAAATACTTGGGACTGATCTAGGAATTAGGCATTGAGGTGAATCCTTAAGACAATTTTTGAAAGAAAGCTTTTCAAGGATGGAAAGAAATGTGAGGATGACTCAGTAAATACTGAAAATATAATGAGGATTTTTCAAACCATAGGGAGGAGCAACCTTATTGCAATGGCATCCGTGGCAAAAAATACTTCAATCCAGTTGAAAATTACATTATGTGTTTTTTTTGGGGGGGGAGTTACCTGAAGGTTGACAATTGCAATTTTTCCCCCACCTCGTAGGGACTTCAAAGGGAGGTTGCAAGCTGGAGTGATCTGCAAACTGCAGTTATACATAGAAAAGAGACAGTAATGTGAAAGGTAGAACTTCAGATCCTAGTTTCACAATCTAACCTACAAAAGAGAAAATAGGACTAAAAAATGCTTCCCGCTGTGAAGTTACAAGTGAAATAAAGCCCAATTCACAATTCATGCAGCAGGTGGCATACTTCAGATGTAAATTTAACTTCTGAAACTCCTGGTCCAAGACAAGGAGATCCTAATCCCCTTAACTAACCAAATCCTGCTGCACATTCATGTTTTTTAGCAAGGTTGCAAAATGTTGGGATGTCCGTAATACCATAATGCTTGTCGCCCGAACCCATGTTTTCAGCTTGTTAAGCCTAGCCCAAATAAATCTAATCTTGGTCCTATTAAGCTCGTAAATAAGATGGTGCTGCAGTGGTTCTGGTGGCATCGCTTCATTGCAACCAAATAATTGTGCAGTTCCATTCAGTTATTTCAATTATACCTCTAGTCTTCCAAATGGCATTACATTCATAGGACTCTTTTCCATTTTTAAAAATTTGACACCACCTTAAGATATTTATTTTCTCATTTGAGTATTATCCTTTTTTTCCTTCTTCTCAGATTATCCTCTTGTTTGAGATTGTGAATATTTATGTTGCTTCCAGCTCTCTGCTTTTGTTTTATGTTTTGCCTGATCAAACAATCTCTGTTACATAAAATACTCTGCCCAGTTGTATCCAAACAAAGGTGGGGTGAACTCAAGCTCATCAAAGACATGGGCCAACCTTGAACACACAACTACCAATGAAAACGCCATATGTGACTGACCAGAGCCTGAACAAGCCAAAACCCAGCTTGGCTTAGTTCATTTTGCAGCCTTAAGAAAGACATTAAACACAATGCTTCAGTAGTTAAAAAATGAGCACAGCAAACCAAATATGATTCTAAATTATGCAATATGTGGCATTGGAAAGGCAAGTTCAGCCAGGGACTATTTTTAACTGTAGATAACCACTTCAACAGGAAAAAATATTTTGATTGCTGCCATCTCAATGACAAGAGTACCCACGACAGTATGTACAATTGAGACTGACCTTGTCCCCAGACATAATACAACATCAGCCATTCGACAATGTTTCTCTGCTGCATTCATCTCTCTTGGGGGCAATGCATCCTACAAGATAAAGGTCAAGCACATTCATCAATGCTATTGATGCAAGATCCTAGAAAAAAAAAAAAAAGAACTACAAATATACATTGCAAGTAGATAATGTAGAAAATTTTAGGATTGGTTAGTGGTTGGCTGACCATAACTTTGGGACCGGAATGAGGAGTTTTAGTGGATATACTATTTTGTGGCTGTCTGGGCTGTGAATGGCAATTAAGGGCTGGCCATGTTATCTCAGTTTGCTTTAGTTGATTGATTGGAAGGGGAAAAGGATAGATCTTGTCAATTCGGTTTAGGGGAAGAAATAAGGGACTGGAAGAATTCTGCTTGTTTTATCATTTCCAATCAAACCTACAAATTATATGAGCTTTTATACCCTTTCAACTGCACATGTCAACTTGGAAAAATGCTGCATTTTTAACTACGCAAGACTATTTTCCTTCCATTTACGTTGGAACAACTTGCTCAAACTATGCAATTAAAAGGACTATAGTCACTATACCTCCAGACAAACCTTTGTCCTTCATGAATAGGCATTTTACACCACATTATTCCACTACTGAAATGAAAGGACATAAATATATAGTGTAAAGGATACAGAGAGTCACAGAATAGCAACTGTCAAACAATGACTATCTAAATGATATTTCCATGGCACAATACCTTCTCTTAAAATTACCAATAGCCTAACTGGAGGACTGATAACTCTTGAATCCAAAAACAATGAAGCAAGCAAATCGAGTAAAATAGCTACCTCCCAATCAAGGACAGTATCTTTAAGTTTTGCCCCACATTTCATGTCAGAACAACGTCTCATTGTCTCCTTCGTCCCGATAGTCTCCACCTCAAAGTCCCGCAAATACCTTTATATATCACAAGTTAAGTTCAAATACAGTATAGATAATCCTTTGAAACTACAGCTTTGCATCCAAGCAGCAATGAAGAGAGAGACAGAGAGATTGAAGTGAACCGCAAAACGTCAAAGTTCAACTCTTACTCTACTCCACAGGAAGGGCAAATTTCCTTGAATGAATTTCCATGCAATTCTGCAAGATTTTCCCTCCGTAATCCAGAGCGGAGATGGAGGCTATCCACATTCTACAAGTAAAAGTTTTTGAACAATGAGGAAAGTGAAGCAATGTACTTAACAGATTATGTAAATATCCATAGGGATGAACACAAGGGTCAGTATGAGCAAGAAAGAAAGGCAAGACAAATTTATATACACATATTCCCTCAAAACTATTGTCCATTTTCAGCTTCTTCCAAGTTCCAAGTACTAAAGACGCCATATGCAAAAACATGGTTGGTGCATATTTTCAAGCAATAACAATCACTCAGTTTAATGAATAAAAGTGTGTTACATGGATGTGCATAACTGGCTTCGTTGAGGCCATTTTTACTTTCCTAACAAAATGACAGCCAGAAATGACACTGATTCACAATCCAAAACATGCAGCCACTTTTGCAAATTGTGAAACAAAATACACCTTGTATAACAAGTTAGTGTTTTAACCGTACATGAGGCTTATGCAGATATCAAGAATATAAACTCATCTACCATACTCAAGCTCTGATAGCTGCAAAATTCAAAAATATAAACTTCTGAAAAAAAAGTTAAAAAAAATATGACATTCTAAAGAATGGGACAATGCCTTTCGTGACAAGATACATGATAAACCGACCTGGCTAATAACAAACTTCAAGATACCAGCCTTTTCAAGTGCAACCAATGCCATATGAGTTAAACTCGGCATCGCACGATGAAATGGCAAAGATGCTTCAGGCACGCCTTTCCCTTCACGCTGCAAGCCAACATTTAATGATCAAGTAAATCATCATCAACATTTAAGAATCACTAAGGAGGCTTAGAGATTACTTTCTTCAAAGATTAAGTTCTAAACTGTAGTAAAATTAATGCACCTGAAGTGTCCAAACTCCATTGGGACCTCGGAAATCCGGTATCCCACAAGATGTTGAAATTCCTGCACCTGTAAATGCCACCAGATGCTCACTCTGCAATTGCATACCAAAGAATTCAAAATGATACAATGATGTTAAGTCTGCACACATAAGAAATACATTAAAAAAAAAACAACAACAACAACAAATAATTGAGCTATTAAAAATCTTCAACCTTTTCAATCATCAAAGCAAGCTGTTCAATCTGCAGCACAGTGAAACAAATCAAGTCAGCTAAATTGTGAGAATGACAAACACAAATTTATCAACCAAAAAAAAAAAATGCAAATAACTAGATACATATATTGTGACTTTGTAATATTGACTGATTGTACTACTTAACATCAACAGAAAAACCTGACTAGACTGGAGAGAAGGCTCTTCTTTATCGTCGCATCACAAGTTCACAAAAAGCATGATCACCAAAAGTCCGTATGCAATTGTTTTTCATGCCAAGTGCCCGCAAGAACGATCAAAGAAAGACAACCATATGATTGACCATCTAAATCTTGATACCAAACTAAGTTAGGGTCATGGGAGATTGGGTTTACTCCATTCTCAACATTCATGTTTTTGGGCACCTCCGTATGTACCAAGCACTTTTTTTTGTTTTTAGGCCAAAACAAACAATTGGCAATTTTAATAAAATTACAAAGTTATAGATCCTTTGCATGTCTCCCCTAATATTCACCAAAATCATCCACCTCCACATTCTTCAACTTCTTAACAGACATAGGGGTTCCTCAGTAAGTGTATTCCTGAATACCTATATAGCTAACAATAGACAACAGATTAATCTAACTTCGAACTCCATCGCAAACTAAACTTAAGAGTAGTTGACAAAATTAAGCATCTAATCAACAAACATAAACATCTATGCAAAACCCGTCAAACGAAAGCAGCTTAAGCCCACACATAAATTTTGAGGAAAAAAATCAGCATCTTTGCTTCAAATTCATGCATGTATTCTTATGTACTTTTTATGAATTTTAGCATTTGTATAATAAGGTACACAAATGAGCTCTATGCTAACATAATAATCACATCTAACAAGGACAATAGAGCATATTAAATAACTAGATAATAACAAAGAATGAAAAAGAAAACAAACCCACATTTTGTTGCAAAACGCGGGGAGGGTCGAAAATCTCAGACATTCCAACAGTGCCCACATCTTCTCTATGAGAGAGCTTCTCTGCATAACCCAGAGACATTCTGGGTCCGTTTTGCTTCCAATTTTTCACCTTTCAAAACTCTGGAGCTACACTGCAACGCAGCGAGAGAGAGAGAGAGAGAGAGAGAGAGAGAGAGAGAGAGATTGGGCGAGGTGGGACAGACAGTAGTGGAAATTTGTTGGGATTTCATTTAAGGAGCCAAAAACAAAGAAGGCACAAGCTTTTATTTAATTTTTGAGTAAATTACACTTTATCCCCTTGAACTATTATTTTTATTTTACTTTACACTGTCAATTATAAATTTTTTTATATTATACCCCAAAGTATCAATTTTATTTCATATCACTTCAATAGATAATGACAAATTTGAAAATCTATCAAAAGAGGGAGGAAACCCCAAAGAGCTTCCACTCAAGTGCCTAGAACCTCTTTTGTAACCAAGGAACGAAATGTCGTGTCGAAACATCCGAAACGTTCGAAACGTTTCGGAATTTCAACACACCGACACGAAACAGGGGATGAATACTAAAATTCCAATGTTTAGTTCGAATCGGCAGTGTATCGGACCGTTTCGGTCGAATCGGTACCGTTTCCATCGAAACAGTACAGATTCGATGTGGTTCACTCCAGGTAAAAAAAAAACAAAAAAACAAAGATGTCCTTTCACATGTCGGTCAAAATTCACAGAGAAAAAACACAGAAATCACATGAGGCACAGAAAGCAGATTCCTTCCACAAGTCAGTCAAATTTAACAGAGAAAAAATCGGGAATAAAACACAGAAATCACATAGTCTAAGTCTTCCAAGGGAAAAAAATAGAGAGAAGAGAGACTGTCCAGGTTTAGGCAAAAAAAAAAACAAACAAAAGAGAGAGGGAAAGGCACCACAGGAGCTCGAAGAGACAGAGAAATTGAAGGAGAAGACTAGAGGAACTAACCTTGAGTCCAGATTTGAGGAGATTCAGCCATTTTCGGGTTTTCCACGCAGATCTAGGGCTCGAATTTTCCACGCAGAGCCTTCGTCATCGCTGCGACCACGAGCCCGAGGTATCTTCTTCTTCTTCTTCCTCTCTCTCTCTCTCTCCCACTCCGGCTTCGGCATCGGCATCGCGATCGCCTCTCTGTGTTTTTCGAAGTCGGCTGTGGTGTGAGTGTTTTGTCTGAGTCGTTTATGCCGTCTGCCTTATATATATATATATATATATATATATATATATATATATATATATATATATATATATATATATATGTTACATGTATGAATAATTATATTTAATACCCCTTATAATTATATTTAATACATACTGTAATTACATTCAATACCCAACAGTAATTACATATAATAGTTAATACCCACTGTAATTATATTTGATATATACTGTAATTATATTTACCACCCACTATAATTACATTTAATAGTTAATACCATTGTAATTACAATTGATACCCACTGTAATTACACTTGATACCACTGTAATTATACTTGATACCCACTACAATTACATTTAATAGTTAATACCCACTGTAATTACATTTAATATCCCACTACAATTACATTTACCACCCAACTGTAATTATATTTAATACCCCACTGCATACATAAGTACCATTAATTTAATTTGATACCCTTCATTATTTTTTTTATTTTTGTAATTATTCTTTTATATTATTATATTTTAATTAAAAGTGTTATACATGTCATATTTAATTTGTAGAATTAATTTAATATATTTAATAACGTAATGATATTTATTGTAGATATGATATCAAAAGGAAAGAATATAGCTACTGAATCATCGCAGAAAAAAAAAGAACGTGATATTGGATAGAATTACGGCGAACGAATTGGGGATAATCGACAACATGTAATGTGTAATTTTTGCCATAAAAAAATGATGGGTGGCGGTGTGTCACGGTTAAAGCAACACTTGGCAGGCGGTTATAATAATGTGAAACAATGTGATAAGTGTCCTATTGAAATTGCGAAAGCTATGAGGGATTACTTGAATCGCAACAAGACTGAAAATGCAGAAGTGACTGGTGAACGGAGAAAAATGAGACAAATTTAATTGGTGGATCGAGGCGGAGGAGTGGTATCGAAATTTATTCTTCCGATGAGAATTCAGATGATGATATGGATATAGAATATAGAGATGATATTGAGTATGCAAAACAACAATCTATTCGTGATATACATATGGCCGAGCAAGGCTTTAGAGGAGGAAGTTCTAGACCATCTATCCAAAAAAGTGGTATATCTAGGGGTTTAATGCGCTCACATAGTGTGAAGGAATCTTGGGATAAATTCTCAAGAAAATCACAAAAGTGGATGGGCAGAGAAAAGGATCTCACGATAGAAGAGATGGATCCTTCGATGTATCGGAATAGGGAAGTAAAGCAAGCCAAGCTAACTCATATGTGGAATCCCAAAAAGTGGGCAAAGTCGGCAAAACATGCTATTGCAAAGTATTTCATTTATGAGAATATTCCACCAAGCAAAGCTCAAGGTCATTTTTACCAATTGATGATTGATGAAATTGCTTTAGCTGGAGTGGGTGTGAAAGGCCCAACCCCATATGAGATTGGCGGACCATTGCTAGATAATGAGATAGATGAGCTGAAAGAGTACATTGACCAGTTCAAAAAGAAGTGGGAGATTTATGGAGTGACAATCATGTGTGATGGATGGACATCCACCACAAGATTATCTATCATTAACTTCTTGATATATTGTGATGGAAAAGTTATTTTCCACAAGTCAATTGATAGTTCTGGTCATGACAAGGATGCTAATTATATTTTGGGTTTGATGGATGCTGTTGTTGAAGAGATTGGAGAGAAATATGTGGTTCAGATTATTACAGACAATGGCAGTGCGTACAAAAAAGCTGGTGAAATGTTGATGGAAAGAAGACCACACCTATATTGGACTCCTTGTGCTGCCCACTCTCTAGATTTGATTTTGCATGATTTTTCAAGATTGAAACGGTTCAAAATGTACTAGAGCAAGCTAAAAGAGTGACAAATTTTATTTATAATCATAATAGAGTCTTGGATATAATGCGAACATTTTGTTCGGGGGAATTGATTCGGCCAGGGCAAACAAGATTTGCCACTAATTATATTGCCTTACAAAGTATGTTGGAGCAGAGAAATGGTTTGCAAAGGATGTTTACTTCAGAAGATTGGTCTAGGACTGCGGCAGCAAAGGATCCAGTTGGAAAGCGAGTTCAAGGGACAATTCTAAATCCTAAATTTTGGGAGACCGCCAAAAATGTGTTGAATATGCATACACCTATTGCAAAAGTTCTAAGAATGGTGGATGAGGAAAGAAAAGCAACAATGTCATATGTATATGAAGCAATGAAACGAGCAAGACAAGCTGTCAAAGATGCGGCTCCTAAATCGTGCAAAAAATATCTTGACATCATTGATGCTCGATGGAAAAAACAAATCATTCAACATATTCATATGGCAGGTAAACTTATTGTTTATCAATTTATATTTTTATTATTGATAAGTGTTATCATTTTGAATGTTATCATTTATAAGTGTTATCATTTTTTATATTGTGTAGCTTATTACTTGAACCCCACATACCATTATGAAGAAGATGTTGGTGTATTAGAAAATTTCTTGGGTTCGCTTCGGATCGTTGTGTCTAGACTAGAAACAAATCCAAACAAGGCTGCTGAAGCACTTGCAGAGGTAATACTTTAGTATTTCAATCTCAATTTACAAATATGCTGAATTAATATATAACATCAATATACCCATGATATTTAGGTAAAAATATTTCGGGAGGCTATGTATTGTTTTGCTGACCAAGCTGCAATTAGAGGAAGAACAAAAAGTGATCCAGGTAATTAAGTAGATTATTTACACTTTTATATTTTATTCTCATGATTTTCTATTTATATTTTTCTTTAAGGTTTTAATATGTTTCTTATTATTATGCAGCTGAATGGTGGTTTATGTATGACACTGATGCTCCAAATTTGAGAAAGATTGCTATGAAAATATTATCGCAAACAGCTTCATCTAGTGGTTGTGAGAGAAACTGGAGTACATTTGCTCTCATTCACACTAAAGTGCGGAATAGACTCAATTATCAAAAATTAGAAAGGCTAGTGTTTGCACAATATAACATGAGGTTGAAGTTAAAGCACCTTATGAAGGACAAAAAAGGGTATGAATTCAGACCTATAGACTTAACCACTGTTTTTGACGAAGATGAAGGTATTTCAGAGTGGTTAGATGATCCTGGTGATGCACTTTTAGATGAACTTGATGATGATGGGCAATCAACAAGACCAAACACTTTCCTATCGACGTGGGCAAATCGTTTTTCCGATGACGATAGAGGAATAGACCTAAGTCAAGGTGTTGTGCCACCACGAAAATCAAGATTCAAAATAAGTAGAGGAGGATCAAGTAAAGCAATGGATGATGAAGAATTTGACAGACTAATGAGAGGTCCACCAAGACGTAAGCAACCTATCACTGTCACTAGTAGTACTGATGATGATCATAATAGTGATGGTAGCAATGATGATGGCGGTGAAGATGATGATGAAGATAGTGGTGGTGGTGGTAGTGGAGATGGTGACAATGGAGGTGGTGATGGAGGTATGGGGAGCCAAAGTCCACATGGAATTGTATTCACTGTAGAGGAAGGATTTACACATGCTACACAAGATGAAGATCATGGCTCTCGACGAATGCTTCAATATGAACGACGCTCAAAATCAACTCGAGATTGTCAACGTGAGCGTACTCAAAATCCGATCACTCCACATGGTATGAGTGCTATTAGGCATGAAACTGATATGATTAATGATGGTTTTTCTACCATGAGTATAAGTGGAAGTGGAAGTGAACACCATAATTATGGTTCGTCGTCTTCATATGGTTATGGTTCTGGATATGGTATTCCCTCATATGATTATGGATCGGGGTATGACACACGAGGATACGAATATGGATCCTCAACATATGGTTATGGATCTGGCTATGACTCCCAGACATCCTCCTCATATA